CATTCTCGAGCTCTTAAAATGCCATAACTTAAAACTGTCAAGTGCACACAAAACCAAAGATACCCCCCCTCCTCTCCCTTATAGCCTAGACAGACTGTTGGGGAAAGTGCTGTTAGCGAGCACCTACGAAGGCCAGAACAGCACACAAGGGGGTGGGTGGCCAGCACCACGCCCGACCACTTTTCTCTCCCTCGTGACGATGTTTCCACATCGCATCGGGTACTCATTTGAGGCTGAGTTAACCTAGGGGAGGACCCAGGACCGGTTCAGATAATCGTCACTGGCGTTCGCCGTGAGCGGGAATCGAACTCGGGTGGTGGGGTTTGTCGCACGACGTGCAAAACACGGCACCGCCACTTCCCAAGTGGACACACAAGTTCTATATTCAATCACGCTTTACTTGTGCATGTGCTGTGTGTGTGTGTGTGCGCACGGACAAGCCTTGTTCTGCTGTGTATGGACATGCACAATTCCACTGGTGGAGTATGGTCTCACCAAACGATGCGGTTCATGGGGGGTTATTTGATCGAATTTCACCATGCTGGTCGCTGTGGGTTGAAGGTGGGAAAAATAGATGTGGGGGCATAGAAGTTGTACAACAATGGATGTTGCTGCACTGCTCTCTGCTGCGCACAATATAGCCCTGAAATCTACCACAACCTATAGTAGCAGGTTTTTATCCTTTAAACTGGTACAAAAACTGACACCTTTATACAAGGCATCATGTTTGCAATAACCACAACACAAGCAGTCAAAATGCAAACAAAAAGAAACAACTCTGATGATATGCACTGTCCTTGAAGTTGATTGGTCCACACCCGAGACAGCTTTTCTTAGAGCCTAGTCTCCATTGGTGTTGGACCAGATGACGCCAAAAGGCGTACAACTCAAAAACAGCGCACTATCAGAGTATTGAGAGCTCGGGGTAAGCATTTACACTATGAGACCTCCTTTACCAGTGGCAAAATATAGTAGGTTTTTACCCTTTAAACTGGTACAAAAACTGACACCTTTATACAAGGCATCATGTTTGCATTTTGATTGCTTGTGTTGTGGTTATTGCTAACATGATACCTTGTATAAAGGTGTCTGTTTTTGCACCAGTTTAAAGGGTACAAACCAACTACTATATTTTGCCACTGGTAAAGGAGGTCTCATAGTGTAAATGCTTACCACAGCCTGTTTTATGCATGAGTCACCCCTATTCAAGAATTATCTAGGCTCAGTTTCTGCTGAGCTTCCGAGATCGGGAATATTCCGGCTAATTTAGTCACTGGCAACTTGTTAGAGGCCTCGTAATGGACATTGAATATTTGCATGAAAAATGCAACTCGCATATTTGCAATAAATGTCAGATTTTGATCAATATTATTCTCAGGATTATCACATTCGTTCCTATCATGTTTTTTTCGCATTCAACTTACAGCTTAAAACGACAATATTCAATTTTTTTTTGTGATGATTTCTTTTTGCCTACAGGATATTAATGTTGGCCATCTTTGGGCAAAAGAATGACAGACTAGTTGTCTAGAACATTACCTTTTCCAACAGAACGAATATATAAAAAAACAAATCCCACCGGCAATCCTAAACTGGACGCTTAGATAGTCACAACTTACCGCTGTTTTAAATAATTATCCTTTGACATTCACTGCACGCCACCACAAACCCGTATTTACAGCTTCATTTTCTAAGCCTTAACTCGCGGTCAATCTCGAGACCTCATCTGGCATGGGATATGTCCGACTGATTAATTGCCCAGACAGCCCCCCAACCCCCAGCCATGCCCATATATCAGAACAGACAGTCCTATTCAGTACGAGGGAAAAGGGGTGGGGGTGGGGGGTGGTCATTCTCTATTGATTTAGTGTGAAAACAAATTGTTTGTCGATGCAGCCGCTATTGATACCTACCAAAGGTGTTTGAGCTTGACATTGAGAATGTAAAACTTTTCAAGCTTAAACGGACATTGATTCAATATCTGGATGAAGCTGACCCAGGTGGTAATAATCATGTGGTTTAGAATTCAAGGCTCGTTGCAAAGGGGAAATTGCCAGTTCAAATTCCGGCCAGGATTTTGAGTATTGATTTGTGAAATATCCAAAACCAGTGGTTGTCCGAGTGGAGAGAATGGACTCGATAAATTAAACAACAAACATTTTTTTTATTTGACCAGGTAAGAGGCCCACTGAGCTATATACAGGAGCTCTATTTTTTCAGAAGCGACCCTGGCCATAAATGATAGCCCAACGAAGTGACGACTTATCACGTGGAAATGTATAGCAGACAAACACTCTAAACGCATGTTCGTAAATGTGGAGGGAAAAACCGGAGGACCCGGAGAAAAGCCCACGACGACGACAGGCGTCAGGGTCGGGATCGAACCCACGACCTCCTGTATACCGGGCGAGGTAGTTAACATCTCCTAGCCACCGTGGCGCCCATAGGAATGTGCAATTGACGTCACTGGGTGAAGACTATAAATTGGAACGAGCATCATGCAATGTTCCTTTGATCAGGGAGTCACCGATTTTCCAGATACTGCCTTCTCCACATTAAAAGATAACCTAGAAAATATGACGAACAAAGATCCCCCGTATAGCCTTAACAGACTGTAGGGGCAAGTGCTGTTAGCGAGCACCTATAAAGGCCGGCACGGCACACGAGGGGGTGGGTGGCCAACACCACGCCCGGCCGCCTTTGTCTCCCTAGCGGCGATGTTTACACATAGCACAAGGTACTAATTTGAGGCTGAGTCGACCTATGGGAGGCCCAGGACCGGTTCACATTAATGATCACTGGTGTTGGCCGTGAGCGGGAATCGAACCCGGGTCGCCAGGTTCGTAGTGCAGCGCACTAACTGCTACACTACCGCTCCCCACACACATGCACACACATGCACACACATGCACACACATGCACACACATGCACACACATGCACACACATGCACACACATGCACACACATGCACCCTCTACTTTATATTTAAAATATAGGAGTGGAGGGCGGGTGGAACGCGTCTCATAATCCAGAGATTATTGTAGTTTGAGTAATTAAATATCAAATCCTTAATTTGAACGTGGATTAGTATGTTAGATTTTCACTTCTGTGCAAGTAAATACATTTTTTTGCATGGATTTTGGTTTGTTGTTTTGCATTTTTCCCTTCTGTTTCTTTGTTAATCCTTGTATTTATCCTCAGCCTTCCCAACAATAAAACACAATCAGAAGGTTCACACTCTACAAAATAAAGTGTAGCAACCATCTTGCTCTGTTTTATGATTAACATGTAACGTGTGAATTTCGATTTAAAGCTTTCGTGACTGCAGGGATTCATCTTCTTGGTTCTTTCGGTAAAGTCACGTAGAAGAGAAGTAATAAAATAATAAAAATAAAACATAATAAAATAATTCTCACGACGTTTCGGCTACAATGCAAGCAGCCGTCTTCAGGCGAAGACGGCTGCTTGCATTGTAGATGAAGACGGCTGCTTGCATTGTAGCCGAAACGTCGTGAGAATTATTTTATTGCTTTATTTTTATTATTTTATTACTTCCCTTCTACGTGACTTTACCGAAAAAACCAAGAAGCTGTAACGTGTGCTTTAAATCCGCCTGACATGAATTTAGTGTAATTCTAAGGGGAATAAAATCCCATTGTAAAAAAAAAACATGTTTTGGCCACAACTCATGAACGTACTGCATGAATGAAGGATATACTTACCCTATTACAAAGTCAGTGAACTTTGCACAGGCAGCTTAGGTGCGGGAATTACATGGGATTCCACAAAAGCCACCACACCTGGATGAATGTAATGCTCAATGGGGCCACAATAATGCCCCAGGGCCTTAGGGCTGTCAAGCAGAATAAGTGAGCGCTCCACAGAACGAAAAGAAAAATGTCAAGACTAGCGCCTGTAATAGAAATTTACGTTGAATCACAACTTCGTATGTATTTTGTTACGGCTTTGGCAAACGTTAAGAACGTTTTTGTAACATTTAATTAATTTTCCTGAGGGTTTTTTCAGACGTCATCTGACATTCAGATGGGTTCTTGACATTTCGTTGAAAAGCTGGATACCATCAAGTCATGGAGACGATTGGTAGCTACTAACGATCACTTGATTGTTTTATTACTTTGTTATTTCATTTTTTGAGAGCCATATGAAGTGTATTTGGCCAGGCCGAACACTGGAATTACTTTTAGAAAGTAAAAAAAAATAACCGATGGAAAGGTGCCCGTATAAAGCACAACAAGCAGGGTTGTTAACCCATTTGAGTGGAGTTTGAACATTCCCTCTTAATAAAGGAGTTCCCCAGGCACTCGAGTTACCTCTCACACAAAACAAAAATACACTAAGTGGTTATATACTCCAAGCAGGACTCGTCCTGAAGGTCATGAGGCCCAGCGAGATGTACCTGAGCGACCTGGCCACAAATGACAGCTCAACGAAGGGGCTTATCATGTGGACGTTTATAGCAGCCAAACACTCTAAACGCGTGATGTTGATTCTAAATGTGGAGGGAGAACGGGAAGACCGGGGGAAAAAATCCATGCGACCACGCAGAAAACGTACAAACTCCATATATACAGCAGGCGTCAGGGTCGGGATAGAACCCATGACCTCCTGTATACCAGGCGAGGTAGTTAACATCTCGCCACCATGGCTCCATCAGCATAAAAAATGAACACACCATTAGCATGAATGCTGCGTGAATTTCACGGTTGTGCCGTACAGCGTCCCGACGTGTTTCCGGGTTGTACCGTGCGTTGTTCGGCATGATGTCCGACGTTTCGCTCCATGTCCTGCGAGCGTCTTTAGCTTCGGGTCAAAACCCACGGCTAGCGTTAAGTTCAGGAAACCCAAGAAACTCCCCGGCTCATGGTGTGAAACGTCTGACATCACCTCGAAGAACGCGCAGAACAACTCGGACACACATCGGAATCACTTTCAGTCGAAATTCCGGTGAATAATAAACAAACACCACCAGCACCACGTGTCAGTTTGCTCTGTTCATGTATTTTACATTCTTTAACAAAAAAAAAACAATGAGCATTTATGTACACTTGCCCAGCTTTATACATTCTGAAAATTGATCAGACATACACAGGGGCTTCTACAGAAGGGCGGGGGGGGGGGGGGAGAATTCATCCACCGTATGTGGCTGCATTTTGTACCGTTAAGCATTTTAAAATTGTATGTGTGTACACACACACACACAAAACACGTACATGTGTATACATCATTTTATCCGCACCTGCCAACTCCCCGGTTCAACGCCAGAGTCCTACTGCAGCACGATATGTGGCCGTGGGAGGGTCTCGTAAAAAAAAGATTCGCATGCCCCACGTACGTACGCACAGGGCGGACGCGAACACGACGGGCTGGTGGGGGGGCACGAAGAATGGGTTCGACACGTGCCCGAAGCATTTCGGGGTCAAACCTAGAAGAGCGAGGGGCGCTGGGGCATCAAGCGGAGGCAAAGTGGTCAGCGTGCCGCTTTCGCATTAGCGCTACAGCCGGTAGCTTGCTGTAACGAAATCCTCCGTCGCGGGCTCGCGGCGACGGCGAGTAGCCGTGATGACAGCGTTCACACCCCCCCCAAATTGAGACGAGGTCGCGCAAATGTTCGGGCGATGAGTACCGTTCCACAAGAGAGTCGGCAGATGTTCCACACATTAGCTCGTACGGTCAGACGGCGCGTGCTCGCACAAAGGCAGGAACAGCCTTTTGTCGTTGTGGGTGCGTGTTTCAGGCGAGGTGACGAGTGCACTCCTCTCGTTTGCGTCACAAAAGAGGGAAGGGCACAAAAAAACAACCTCCCCGGAAGCAACGTGGGGACGCACACCTTTCGCCAACTCTGTTTGATATCGAGACCAGATCACGATTTCCCCCACACCTCACAGCTCTGCTCCTGCATATACACACGCATCTATATTACACACATCTCATGGGACTAGCAAAAATAATAATAATCTAGCAAAATAATATTAGTTTACATTATTAGACTTTGTAGTAGTATACAGTATTGGAAATAAAAAAACAGAAAAGGCTACATTTGCATAAAATTCACGAAATAGCGTGACACACGTAACTAAGGACAAACGTAATAAAAAAAGCAAATTAGCGATCCGTTACAGAATGTCCAACAAACAGAAATGTATCATAAGAAAGCACCATCTACTATCATGTACATAACAGCTGTATAAATATATTAAACTCAAATATTTCGTTTTTTATTTGAGGGTTTTTTTCATTCATTTTTTTATTATCTATAAAAAAAATCTTATCTTTGCAGTCCCCCCCCCCCCCCCCCCATGTGTTAATCCGTATAGCTTACACGTTAATATCACAAAATAGCATTTGTGTGGCATGTGGAAGGTTTTGTTTGTTTCCATCACGAGGCCGGTCCGGCTTCGCTGCGGCGCGGCGGTACATTCCGTTGCTCCTGACTCCTCTCTATGCTCGTTGCATAGTGTGGCGGACCTTCGCGCTCCCGCCCGGGTCCCTCCGCGTTCATCGGTAGAAGTAATGGGGGTAGACTGTCGGGCGCAGAGAGGGGAAAAACAAAATGAAGAGGACGAAGAGCAAATATTTTGCGCGCGTAATCAACGATTTTTGGGTTTAGATCGCGTTTATTTATAAATGTGTCGTAACCCTCCACCACCCGACACGGCCAATCAGTAAAAATGTGTCACGTTGACAAAGACAAATAGTTCACTGCTTTAGCCCACCGGTGTGTTGAAGCAACAACATTTACAATTTGAGTACGACGTTTCGCTGGTAATTGCAATCAGCATCATCGGGCAATTCGCCAGAATGGTGAGGCTCTCATAACACGGGTGAGTGTTTTGCGCGCGTCTGCGAACGGCAAAGACATTTTACCGAGGGCAACCGGGACAGGCTATCGAACGGTGCGCGATCCAAATGACAACACGTGACTAACGCTGCCCCTCTGTCAGTGAAAGAGCGTGGACACGGTTTTGGGGGGGGGGGGGCGAATGCTCTAGCGAAGAGCTCTCACTAAGAGCAGCGAGAGAGGGCCACTCCTTTTTGTTGTGATAAAGATGGACCGTGATGGCTTGGAGAGGGGCCTTCATCCAGCAGTGGCTAGAGATCATGGCTGATTTAAAAAAAACTCAGCCGCCGTATTTGCACGCTTGGCTACGTAAGGTCTGAAAGAAGTTCAGCATACACGCATTATGACACTGTGGTGTTTTGAACAGGTTAGTCAAACAATCCTACGTATATAATTCCTTGTTTTTCAACTGTGTCATTGCATTTATACCGATTGTATTTATCTCAGGTCTCCCTGGACATAATGACTCAAAAGGCTCTAAACCTCATCTCACGTCAAACATCACGGAATTACACATCGATGCAATTTTTGACAAGAAGGGCAACTTGTATGTATGCACGTTGAACTTCTTTCGTAAATAGCCAACCGTGCCAATCGGAGGTGCAGGGGAAGGGCAACAAACTAAACACAAAAAGCGCGTGCACGAATTGCGTTGGCGTTGCCTTCAACGAACACGGCTTGGTGATGCTGCATTCTCATAACACGGGTGAGTGTTGTGTTGCAAGTTCTGCATTCGATGTATGACAAATGCTCGTTGACTCGTTAACTTGAAACTGTTTTCATTTACAAGAAGTTGATTTTCTTAAAAAAAAATGATGCAAACACCTTGACCTCAAATTGACCTGTATAAAAGTAAGCAACATTTTAAGTGTGTAGCGAAAAAATTATAATTGAAAGTCACATTTGGCTGACCGCTGTTATGGTTGGGCAAACCGCGATTTGTTTGGTAAATTGTGTCCAATTCAAACGTAGTTGGCGGTCTGTCGCCTGGGGCTAATGGGTCGCTTGCTGGGGGGGGGGGGGGCATAACGTGTAACAATTCACCGTCAATGCCACTTATTTCTGTGCCATTGTCTTCTCTGCGAGGCAATATCATCGTGGCGTACAACCAATGTCATTGACTCAACACAACCGGGGAAGATGCTCTGGGTCGATGTGGAAATTAGGTTTTCACAGTGAATGCTTCTGAGGATGGAGGCGCGGGTGTTTAAACTCCGATCGCGCAGGATGATAACCGTGAATGAGCCGTGGCCAGGTGCGCTGGCGCACCGAGAGAAGGCAAATCCATTAAAGCGATCGCGTGTGCTCCAACTAAAGTTGCCACCTTGTCCTGGCTTTCCGAGGAATGTCTCCTCGTTGCCGTGGCTATTGTAGGAAAGTTTGTGAGTCTTCCTTGGACATTTAAAGTTCTGCTTTTTGTCAATCGACGAATAATGCACCACTCAAGACGACGCGTTAACGGTAGTCAGATATTAATCTTGTGACATGGCCCTAAAAAAAAAAGCTATATTTGATATGCGATATTTCAGGAAATTACCCTTTTTCATAAGAGCCGTCTGCTATAAACAAGCTCTCACGGACAAAAGTTTAGAGTTTTGTTACCTGTGCTTTGCGCATCCACTGCCACAATGCAGAATCACAGAACAATGATTAATCCCCATCACACGCCCCTGACATCTTCTACCCGAGCAGTGGCAAAACCTCGTTCCAACGCAGAGTAACCCTCCTCCCCCCTCCCCGTTCCCCCAACGGCTGCCCAAGCAAACGGAGCAAGCAAAGCGAGCACAAAGCATCGTCCCACCGCTACCCCTACGCCGCCGGGATACTCACCGCGCCCGCGTCCGGCCGGGTAAGCCGGCGCGCGGCTAGCAAGAGTACGTCCGCACCGTGTTGTCTAGACGCTGAGACCCAAACAGGGGGCCACCTGAGCCAAGCGAGACGGCAGGGGAGGGGGGGGCGGTGGGGGATGATGGGGGGGGGGGGGAAGGCACCGGCAAGCGAGGCCATGACCAGCAGACGGGCGTTCAGACAGGCGGGCGTGGGAGAAGGGGTGTGGATGCACAGGCAGACGTGCACGCAGACAACAACAACAGCGCACACACGCACGCACGCACGCACACGCGCGCCACCCACCATGCCAAGCCATTATTAGTTTCGTGGTAAGCAGAAGCGTGAGGCGGCATTAGACGTCGGCAGATAACATCACAGGCGCGCGCGCGGGGCGCCGGCTGTGACAAGTCGGAGGGCCATCCAGAGGCTTCTCTCGCGAATGTGGCGGCATTCCTGTGTGACATTTGGAGAACTTTGAATGAGCGGACGTATCTCGAAATCGCTTTGAAGATACGCGCGTAATTTTTTTTGCGCCGAGGCGCTCCTTATTCATTCTGGCACGTTCGAAAGGTATATTCGCAGACGTGAAACGATGATAGCTTTCGCGGGGTTTCGTTTAGCCGACTAGTTGGAAGGATTTTGGCAGCAATTATGCGAAGTTAATGACTTGTCATAGCCAGCGCCTGTTTGTGAGTAAAGCAGCAATGTCAGTATTGTTAGTATAATAAAAAAAAACACACACCAACCAACAACATAACCTTTAGTAAGCACATTTATAGCGAGGCAATTATTGTTGTGTTGAGAATTTGCTTTGGGCTACGTTGAATACCATTCACGTGAAAAAAAAATTCGCCTTTTTGCAAGAAAATCTCAGAAATATACCATCGTTGTCAGGAAAAATATATAGCAGGCTAAAGTTTCAAATGTCCAATACATTTTTGGCCCACTGCCCAAATCATTATCCGACTAAATTGTTGTGTTGCCGGGCAATGTTAATAAAGATGTGGTGAGTTAAAAAAAATTGCAATTACTTGAATAAAATAACGATTATCATAATGATAATACTGACAATCACTGAAAAAAACACTTTCAATGCCTGTCATTTTCTGTTTTTTAAGTAACGAGCAGAGTGATCTGATTAATGCGTTTTAACGAAACCACGACAAGCCGTGGTAAATATTGCATCGCAGTCACCTGCAATCCCACGTGTTAAATCATCCACACATGCAGATGTTGAGCGCTGTTATTTGTCGATGCTCACGCACATATATGTACTGTTACTGTCTGCTTCACAGAATTGTGGACTGCACAAATCGGCGTGCAAAATGACGAACAACAACATGACAGGAGCTGGGATACGCTCATTATATATAAAAACAATGTCACCGTAGCCGCAGGGCACCCACGGTAGTGCTCACGTGACTGATGAGTGCACGAATGCAAATTGTACCTGTGCCTAGATAATGCACGAAATGCGAACATAAATAAAATGTTAAAATTACCCGCAGTGGCCTTTGATGATCTAGTGTGGCATCAGGACCGTATGTTCCGCCACAAATGTGCATTGTTATCATGCATATGCATTAACAGGCCTTTTATTTATTCAACGGCTTGCTGCATGGATTTTAAAGACAGTGGTATGTTTTTCTGTGTTGCGTGCTTATACCGGAAGAAGCCAAGACTGCTAAATTCCGCACACACAAATAGAATAGGTGATCAGAATAACTCATGAGATTCTCTAAGACTGACGAAATATATGAAATTAGATGTCAATGGACAAAAAAAAGTAGAGTCTGCCTCCTACGCAACTCCGAATCTAATCCGAAATTAAAACGTCCGTAAATTGAACTTCGAAGCATTGCTTGTATTGATATTTGTTTACGCCGCAGCAAAAACGGTGCAAGGAGTTCACGCATTTATGTGATCCACCAACCTTTGCCTTCCAAAGAGCCGGGAAAACAGATGTGAACATTTCTAATAAAAAAAATAAAACCTCTGGGTGTACCATGAAGCATTGCATGCTGGGAAGTGGATCGACCCACTCAGACGCTTGGCGCCTGGATATCTTACTTTTGCAGAGCTGGCTCATGTATCAAAGGCAGCCAGCCGTGCGTCATTCATCCTGAACCCGATTCTGCACTCAAAATATTCTGCCCTTCGTGGTGGGGAGATGTTAACTCCCTCGCCTGGCATACAGGAGAGCGTGGGTTCTATCCCGACTCCGACGCTTGGATGTTTATTGTTTGCATGTTCTCTCTCCCTGTGGTGGCGTGGATTTTTCTCCGGGTCCTCCGGTTTTCCCCGAGACACATTTGGAATCAACGTTCGCTTAGAGTATTTGGGCTGCTGCGAATTTCCACGTGATAAGCCACTACTGTTGAGCTGTCATTTGTGGCCAAGTCGCTTCTGAAAAAGAGCTAGATAGCTTAGTGGACCTGACCTGATAAAATAAGGAAATGAATAATTATATATTACAAAAATATATAATAAACCCCCGTTGTTTCTTTTTCACACCTCTTTTGCAGCGTGCATTCACCACGGAATTGATGGTCAGTGTCGGCAAGGTCGTGAGCCTTGTGAGATGAACTATTCATGAGACAGAGCGGTGTTCAATAGCTAATAGCTCTGAGTGGACTTTCATTTACTCTCTGTGTCATTTTTCATGGGCGGGGCGATTGTTAGTAAGGCAGCGAAGCGAAAGCAAACGGTGGCCACGATGAAATATAACAGCACGTCATATGATGGGAATTAAGCAATGAGGCAAGCACTCGGTCTTCTACAGCAATTGCATTTACTCTACCGCATGTGGTTTATGCACACTTTATGAGAAATGCCGATGTCAAGCTAAACCGCATGTTTAACTTAAATCCGACATTAGTCACATTGGTCTTCAATACACGATGTCTTTCAGTGCCACGAGAACTGAGGTGATAAATGTGTCGGGACTAAAAGCACTCTTCATTCTCCTCTACTGCTCCCATAGTCGCGAGCTCCATTCGCCCCCAGCCGTCCGTGCTGTCGACCCCCTGCCCCTGTCCCAAGTCCAGGCCCACAACTGACTCCCTCCATTCGACAAAGCAAACCACCTGTTGCTCGACAGCATCTCATTTTGACACTATGTACCGCAATGTATTGTACGGAAAGTGCATTGTATTGTCCGGTGTTTTATCGCTTCAATTTGCGTATCACGACATACGCCGATCGAATTCTGACTATATCTCTATTCGAGCGTGTGGCAGTATGTTCAGGAGCTGAACGCCAATGTCGGGGTCTGCTCTCCATGAGTGGGTTTCCGGAGAGCGTTCAAGTAGTTTTGCTACTCCTCCTCTGTTGAAGGAGCCCTGACTACAGTGGTTTAATATACTGCCCATAGTTTGGTCCATAATCCTTTTCCGTTCCGAAACGACTGCAAACTGCAGGGTGGGTGCAATTCACCGCTGAATCTCGGAACGTGTAAAGGGCTTACTGTTAATTTTATTTAGAGAGGCGTAGTGCCGGTGTGTTTAAAGGCATTGTACTCACCGCAGAGAACTGTAGCGACATTACCACACTCTGTGATAGCTGGTGCCAAACTGTGCTACACGCCCTCCCGCATGGCCTTGTGGGAGGCTCGGTACCGATACAGTTTTTTTATTTTAGTATTTCTTCCGGTTCTGTACACGGAATGTACATCATCGGAATGGAATTGGAAGAAAAACTGATCATGTACACCTACGTCATCGGGACGCAAAAGGGTTAAGAGAATGAACCGGAATGGACCTCCAACGCCAATTGTCGTCTTCTGCCCAGGGCGACAACCAAAGCACACCCCCTGCCACCGCCCCGGCCTCCTCCACCCCCCCTCGCTCCACCCCGACGCTCACCGTCCTGCTGGATGCGCTTGGGCTGCATGGTGGGGGACGGCGTGACGCCTTGCGGGACGCGGAAGCTGGCGGGCAGCGTTTCAGATGAGCCCAGGCCCATGCCGACGGCGCCACGCACCTCGCGCGGCTGGAAGCGCTTCCGCCACGACGGCGTGCGCTGGAAGCCCTTCTCGGTGCCCTGCACACGCCACGGCACGGCACGCGGTGACCCTCGGCTCCCCGAACCGCCACTCTCTGCCATCCGTCAACAGCGGCGGCGATGGCGGTGCATCACGACAGTGCAGTGCGGAGCGCCATATGCGTCAAAAAACCTTCAGTTGCTAAACTACATCTTCTTGGTTCTTTCGGTAAAGTCAGGTAGAATGGAAATAATAAAATAATAAAATAAAACATGATAAAATAATTCTCACGACGTTTCGGCCACAACGCAAGCAGCGTCATTCAGACTGTCTTCCTGACAGACCTGGTCTTCACCTGAGGACGGCTACTTGCGTTGTGGCCAAAACGTCATGAGAATTATTTTATTATGTTTTATTTTATTATTTTATTATTTCCATTCTACGTGAGTTTACCGAAAGAACCAAGAAGATGAATCCCTGCAGTCACGAAAGCTTTAAATCGAAACAAAAATGCTAAACTACAATTAAAGCTTTCTTTAATTTTACAAGGTAAAGCCCACTGAGCTGTGTAGCTCTTTTTCAGAGAAAGTGACCTGGCCACAAACGAAGTGGATGACCATCACGTGGAAATTTATCGCAGCCAAAATACTCTAAACGCACGTTTATAAATGTGGAGGGAAAAAATTGGAGGAGCCAGGGAAAAATCAACGCGACCAGCGACCACGGAGAGGAGAATGCAAACTTCAAATATACAACAGGCGTCAGGGTCGGGATAGAATAGGCAACGTTTCAGGCAATGGTCCTTCTTAATAGCACATAATCAGAATCTTCATTTCGACTGGAGGAATCCGATGAACTTTGGACATTGGACATGTCCAGATGTGCATAAACAAAAAGGCCAGAGAGAGAGAGAGAGTCAACGACAAGGGATGGAGACTTCACTTTACACCGTGGAGCCTGATGAGATTTACATTTTTAAAACGTTTACGTAAACAGTTAAATTATATTGCATTGTGGGAAGAATTTTCCCATGAGGAGAAGGCGCCATCGACTTAGCAGTGTACCCCTGGCCGTGTGTGTAGTTTGTTGGCCTTCCCCCGCATCTCCGATTAGCACGTACGGTGTAAGCGTACGGACATACGTACGACCAACGCGATACTCACATCGTCCAACCTCCGATCTGTTCCCAACGCCAGCAGGTTGTTGTATTCGCGTTCCAGCACTTGTCTTGCCTGCACGCAGAACGCACGAGTCAAATGAAGTCACGAGCAAGCACGACAACTGCTCTCTGAACCCCCCCCCCCCCCCCCCCCCCACCGTGTATACGACCCGTCCGGGACGTGTACCACACGCTTGCACTCGCAACGCAACAATAAATACCAGGTTAGGAAGGTAAAAGAGCAGCCCTGCTATAGTTTGCTGACAGAAAGGCCCGTACAAGAGGGAGTTCTAGACAGCCCATCTGCAGGGTATTTGGTCTACTCTTCCATGCTGGTCAGAAACCGCGTGCTGCTTGCCGATTCTAAAAATGTTACTGCACGCAATAAATACCCGTAGTTTAAACATTACACTCGTCTAGCCAGCGTGGAAGAGTAGGCCAACGACGAATTTCTCTGAGGTGCTCTGTAATCGAGTCGCGCTCTGCTAAGAGTGGTGTGAGTAACGAATTCCAGGGCTGTACGTTTAGACCTTTACCTGTGTTACAACGGGATAATGAAATGACAGGTGTTTATTGCAGACAATCGAAATTTTTATACCAATTAATTCAGCCACATTGTTGCTTTTCTTCATATCAGTTCGAAAATAGTGTTTTTATTATATAGCGAAGAGTTAAAAGGTTTTAAGGAAAACACATTTTGAGGTGTTCTTCCTCACGGAATATTTTGATAATTGTTCACGTAAACACATGAGAGAAGAAGCAGCTGAATCGATACCTCGTAAGCCACAACAATTGTTGTTTACACCAAATGACAACACGTAAGAATGCCACGTTCCCTTACAAAAAAAAACATTGCGCTGATGACACTCAATTAACGGGAACGATTGTTGAATTTTGTGTTGACACAGGTTTATTTAATATCGACTCGATTTATGCTTATTTATAATCCTCCGCAAGAGAGCCAACAACGGTGGGTAGAATGAGAATCTTGCGAGGGCATCTTAGCTGCTCGAGAGACTCATCCTTAATGTCAGGGCAGAGTGGAGTGGAGACCGATAACCTGGGGCTCAAGCTCTTGGGTGGGCGGCCCAAACGGAGCCTGCACGTGACCCTCGCAGTGGTCTGGTTGTCTGTACGTGCTCCACATTCCCTTACGCTATCCCAGTCAGGGACCGAATCCAAAAACAATGCCAATTATATACCAAAAATAACGAAAGCTTCAGTGAGTCTTGGGCGGTTGCCACAATGAGATTTTTGGCCAATACCGGATATGGATTCTAGATTTGAAGCTTTCGTGACTGCAAAGAATACAATTATAATTGATAATTTTATTTCTATTATTATTTATATTATTTTATTATTATTTATTTTTACCTACGTGACTTTACCGAAAAAACCTAAGAGTATGAATAATAGAAATACAATTATAATTTTATTTCTATTATTTTATTTTTATTATTTATTTTTACCTACGTGACTTTAACGAAAAAAACCTAAGAGTAACGGCTATGGGTATTTGGTATGTGGGAGGATATCTGGAGAACCAAAAGAAAACGTACGAACATCAGTGGGTGACTGGTCCTCATAACTGCCCTCCAGTAGCTTCCTCGCAGCCTCATGACTTCAACACACGGCCCGTACTGGTGGTCACCTATCCAAGAACTAACCGGCTTCAACCCAGCTTAGCTTCTGAAATGTGATGAGATGGGACAGATGTAGGGTGATCTGATGATCGGCCAAACATATTGTTTCGTGTGCAATACATCCTGCGACACCCATTTGAACGCAACTAAAATAGAGTGACTGAATTTGTGCATTTGCCCTTGACTTGGTTGTCATGAGTGATTCGCTCTTAAACAGCTCGGAGACTTAGAAACGCCACACAACTGTCCCAAGTTAATCTAATGACCAGCTTATTTACTAACGAAGTAGATTATAATAGGGATTTTGCAAAAGAAGAATTCGGTATTGTACAAGTAAACAAGGCACGACAATCATGTTCAGTTATCGCAAATTTTGTGGCGAGCCATTTCGTAATTTGCGTGAAAGGAACAGACGATACTGGACACCAATGGCAAGAATTTTAATGCTTACTCTGTAGCAAACGGCTCAATTTGGGAAATGATCTCCTATTTTGCGAGATGAATACAAAAATGGATAAAACGAATGGAACCAATGACCCGTTACCAACTGGCTCAGTGGATGAGCGTACCAAATAGGCCGCACTGTTTGCATGTCCACACAGCCCGTTTTAGCTGTCACAGTGTCAACTGACGGGGAATCTTTTTCGAGTTCACGTCTTCTTATTCTCTAGTAAGGCGGAGAAGTGATCGGCAACTCTCATCGTCTGATTTCATATTTATAGAACGCCTTCACTCGTGGCGCTTGGCATAGTTTAAAAAAAAAGCGCTGACAAGAGTAGAATTATTTAGATTCCAAGAGCATGCACGGATCGAGGAATGAGTGACAGCGACAAAGGGTACTTAGGGATCACGAAAAGGTCGAGGAGTGGGCGGGAGGGAGGAGTGGAGGGGACGAAGGGAGGGAAGAGGAAGAGAATGGGCAAGAGGTAAGCTGGAAGACAGGTAAGGAAGGAGGCTAGGCAGCAGAGACTGCTGAACCCTTTCCTATTCCAAGACATCTGTAAGTCGCAGGGTGGGCCCCGTTCACCGCTGAATCTCGGAACGCGCAAGCGGTTTGCGTTAATTTTATTTTGAGAGACATAACACCAGTGTTTTTCAAGACAATGTCCTGTACTCACCACAGAGAACTGTAGTGACACGACCACCCTCTATGATAGCTGGCACCACACGCCCTACCGCATGGCCCCGTGGGAGCCTCGGTACCGGTAAAGTTATTTTATTTTGGTTTTTGTTCCGGTTCAGTTCTGACAATGTACACGTACGTCATCGGAATGGTAAAGGGTTAATGTGCAGGGGAAGTTTATTCCAACGGAGGGGTGCACGGAGGGAGAAGGACCGAAACACACGAGATTGGGTACAGGCAGAAGGAGGGACAGCGAGAGAGAGAGAGAGACAGGGAGAGGATTGGGAAGGAAGAGGGCGAGAGGCGACATGTGGAGTTTGGCGAGGCAGTGGACGGCTTCAGGAGTGTTCTCGTGAATATCTAAAACTGCTCTGCCCAGATTGAGTGCGCTCGCTGCAACGAACGTTTGGCGTGCGGACCACATCCGCTTCCGTCTAACCTGCGTGTTCTGCGTCGGGATCTGCAGGGCCAGTGCCAGGCTCGTGTGGTCAAAGCTCTCGTCCAGGGCTAGCAAGGCACCGTGGATCCCGCTCTCGATCAGGCTGTTGGCGTACTCCCGGAGTCCCACAGACTGCACCCAGCGAACCACCCGCTCGTTGCTCCACACCACCACGTCTACGAGACAAGGAGAGTAGAGAGCTTTGTGAGATACACGAGTCAGGCTTCGCGTCGATTGCGCATTCGTAAAAACAAGTGAGGAAATATCGCGTGCGTGCGCAGATCTCTTAATGCTCGCCGACAAGCGTTCGTCTTTGGAAGCATGCGAGCAGTGATCGAACAGCAGCGCTTGTGCCAGGCACACAGGATGCAGTATTTCCATAGGCAACGATGAAACTGTACAACTATTTTACCAGGTAAGGCCCACTGAGCTGTAGAGCTCTTTTTCAGGAGCGACCTGGCCACAAACGATAGCGCAATGAAGTGGCTTATCGTGCGGGAATTTATCGCAGCCAAATACTTGAAGCGCATGTTTCTAAATGTGGAGGGGAAAACCAGAGGACCCGGAGAAAGATCCACACGACCACTGGGAGAACAAACTCCAAATATACAGCAGGCGTCAGAGTCGGCATCGAACCCACGACCTCCTGTACACCAGGCAAGGTAGTAAACATCTCAGCCACCGTGGTGCCCTTGACGAGAGGGATTGGATAACGGCTCTGCCAAGGGGGCGCACCTCAGCCAGCGGGGGCTGGGACAAAAATGCGGGTTCAACGAGCACTGATTTAGGTCTCCGAGTTTTGGGCAGCCCTTTAAACAATTTGTCCCATTTTCAATAGGATAAATCCACAATGGCAACAGTTCTTGATGCTAAACTTTGGTCCATATTGGATCACTCTTTAGGTCACATTTGATTAAAGGGGATGTCTGATCTTGTGTGAATAGCTCAAGACAAACTGAAATTTGTAATATAGACATTGATTAATCCACTTCCTATGCAGCATATGAATCGTAGCCCCATATGCCGAGTCATTGGCCCCCCATCTACAAACTTACTTTGAATGTTGGCTGATTCCACTATGGGGGATCCACCCCACACCAGCTTTAGATGACGCTGAACTCGAATTAACACTTAAATTGGAGTTCTCTACCACAGAAGCCTTTTAATCTTAACAGCAAATGGCACATCAAAGGCTGCAGACAAAGTAGTACAAACAAATCCTGGGCTGGGCATGACAGTTTCAGAAAGTCTATCCCAGTGTCCTGAAGTGTTTGTGAAAATCTGGATTTTGCCCCCGGTTTAAAACGTTCTGGCCCCATGCTTGTGTCACGACAGGAGCCACAGGGTTGCAACCCGAGTAGTTGATGGGGGGTTGGTAGAGCGAGGCAAGGTGCAGAACGAGAGAGGCCTCTCATTGTGCGAGTTGGGTGCTGGTCAGAGGTCACAACCGGGTACCTGATACCCGTACCCTAGCCGTTTGCGACCCTGGTGCGGCCGGGTACGGGTAGGCCATGAGTCACTGGTGAGTAACCGTTTGTCACCATTTCGGGTAGGGTACGAGTACGGGTAGGGAACGGGAACCCGTACCCGGCTGGGTACGGGTACGGGTACCCATTTGCGACCCTGGTGCAGCCGGGTACGGGTACGGGTAAGGAATCAAAACCCATTTGCGACCTCTGGTGCTGGTGGTGGAGTGGGCGTGGCTATTCGAAAGTGGGTGGGGCTGCCAGCTCATCACGTGTCTTGGTTGAGCCTCCAAGGAATTTGGGAGCTTGAGGCTGCAGGGGCACAACAACCTGCTCCCTCCGTTTTACCAGCGTGGTGCACAGAGTCGTTTAGACGCGCTACGTAGGTATACGTAACTCTGTTTGCAAAGTGTAAGTCACGCACCTTGTATTTCATGTTGGCTGTCCTCTCTTTTCCTTTCCAGCTCTTGGCGATCGTAGTTTAATCGCTTCAGGCACATGATGCCATACTGCAGGCTGGTTCTGTGGGATGAAGCGTATACGTTTTGGTTAGCAAATGCATGTCCACGTACATCCCCTTGTGTCACTCCACTGCTGGATGAGGGCATCCACAAGCCGTGCTCGGTCGTGGGGAGTTACAATTGGGGAGTGCAGATGTGCGAGCAGAGAGTGCAGTACAACAATGGAATCTTGCTCCACTGCTCTCTGCTGACAACCACGTGGTATGTCTTTGTTTAAGAGAGACAAACAGTACTGCTCTTTTAAGGTACACAAAAGCTGTCTGGAAAAGTTCTGCTTGCGAGCACCTATGAATAAGGCTGGTTGGGCACTCAAAGGGATGTGACCGTGGCTTGCCATAACGCGTAGTGGGCATATTGTTTAGGCCGAGTCTACCTAGGAGAGGTGCTGCCAGATTCTAACACCAATCACAACCGGTGTTGTATGCGGTGAGAAACTGAACCCGGTGCCACAGAGATCACAGCCCAGGGTACTAATGACTACACCACCACTCGCACTGAAATGCCACCTCATTATTATTTTTTTAAAGGGGAATAAACCACAATATTAAATTATTTCACTCTTCAAAATCTGACAGAAACACGCTAACTAGGCATTTAATCAAACAGTCCTTGAATTTTACAACTATTCAGATTGTTTCACGTAGCCTTGGGCATTCGTACGGGAGTTCAAATCAAATATCTCAAATGTAACGAGATGTGAACACTTGGTCCGCCGCACGTCCACACGTCGCATCTCTTGGAAGTCTGTTCCCATCTGCCTGCCTCTCCACTCCGTGATGTAGCAACGGAGAGTGCAGGCGGTGTGCCTGCACCACGCCCAGGGGCCAGAGGGGGGGGGGGGGCCTAGGCACAGGGCTTTGAAGAGTGCGGGGGCACAATTTAATTGCCTGCGCCAGGTTCGTAAGGAATCGCACGACTCCACCTGTGCCCGCTTGCCGACCGGCATGTCTGTCACTCGGTCCGTCTGTCCGTCCGTCTCTCTGCCGTCCGCCCGACGAATTCGCGTCCGAGCCGCCTGACGCGCCAGCGCGCTCCTCTATACCTGTGGAAGCTGTCGACCATCTTGAGCTGGCCCCGCAGGTCCTTCTTGGTGAGGTGGTCGAGCATGCGTGCGTCCACGAGGCACTCCATGAAGTAGCTGCGGTACTGGGGCAGGCCTAGGCTGGGCAGCCACTCGTTGCCCACCCACTCGTGGTTCATGTCGCTGTACGCCAGCGTCTGCCGGGCGGCAACGCAACAACGCGTTGGAGCCATTAGCGTCGCCCGTTAAGCGCGCGCGAGTGTGTGTGTGCGTGTGTGGTGGATATGCTGTGGGAGGGAGGCCAATTCAACTCCGCCTTCCCCCTCGTGGTGCTCGAAGCCACCACAGCGGCCAATCAGGACAGGTGCCAGGGGCTGGTAACCCCTCCACCGTCAATTCAAGGCCACGTCGTCGATAGAATAAATATCGACGAGGCCTTAAAGTGCACGTAACCTGGCACAAGCGCAGTGCTGACGTCACCGCCACTTAGCGGCGAATGGCGGTTGTTGTTGAATGGCATACGACTGAGGAGTCAGAGGGTAAATTCGGTACACAAGCAGAAGATCGTGAAATTGAAAGCCTGGGAAGGGGATAACTCAGGCAGTGTTCTTCATTGCAAGGCCCACGGGCCACTGGCAGGTCCCTGGTGGCCTTTAGTGCAGCCCCTGACGTGCGGCCCCCGACAATACACAACACGTGACAACACATCATCATGCTGCTGCCAAACCCCCAATGGTTTAAAATGTGATGGCTCTCACACTGATGATGTCTTATCGGCGAAAGTGGCCCCCCTCCGAAAATTAGTGAAGAACACTGCCTGAGACCATCACCTCTCCAGGTTTAATAAAGAGTGTGCTGCTATTTTGTAGATTGAGGCTGTGCTACGGATGGACCGACCCTGCCATAGGAAAGTGCATTTCCACAATTGACTCATTTGAAAATGAGCGCCAAAGCAAAAACTCTTTTGCGCGAGCAGGGTCACTTAGACTTTTTTATTTTGAAATCCGAATGCAATTTCAAGTATTTTATGGATTATTGTGTATAGATGTTTTAGATGAATACATGAATACAATTAGTTGCCAAAGGTTATCTGTATTTTCTTGGCTGTGTAATAATTTGAAAATAATAATTAACATCATGCATCTGGCAGTAGATATAAATAGATGTTTTATACGGTCCGTAACCTTTGACGATCGACATCTGTAAGCGGACATTTTCATTTAAGAATTCAAAATTTAAATGTGAATGTTTCACGATTCCGCTTTGATGAACGTCGGTGCAATTTCATGGCAGCCACGCACGTATTTTTCTCGTTTACGTGTCTCAGATGTTCTAAAACATAATCAAACTATTTTATCCTTTGAAAACAATATAAAATGCAAATCATCCACGAATGCTTATGAACAAAATTAACACAACAACTCACATTCATCAATAACCACTGCCTTAAAAGGAAAAATATGAATTAATATGTAATATATAATTTTTTATTACGCAGAAAAATATAATTGGTGGTGTTTTTAGAAATGGTCCTTCTTCACAGAACACAACTGGATTTCATAATACAGTTTTTTTTTGGGTTAGATCACGTAAATATAAATGTGGCGTTAAACCCGGCACCATCCGACACAGCCGATTAGTAAAGTTTGTCACGTAAACAGAACACGCCAATTCGTTATTGTACTGGTACTGTAACGAATTGTCATGCCGGGTGGTGGCGGGTTTGACGACACATTTATATTCACGCGATCTAACCCAAAACACCCCCACCCCCCGCTGAATTATCGGTGATATTGGTCGCGAAAGCCTACGTGTTAAACTGACAACTGGATTTATGCATATCATATTTCTACGTATAGATTTATGCGCTTGTGAAGAAGGGCCATTTCTCGAAATGTCACCTGTTCTATGTTTGTTGTTTATTTTAAGGCCGCCCACCCCACGCGGCGTTATTGACGACGGACGCGTTGAGACGTTATTCATTGCACTTGTGCACCGCTGCCAACGCAACGGCAGCAGCAGCAGCAATATACTGAGAGTTCACGTCTGCCTTAGCTCACTGGTGAACGTTGCAGACTCCTAAAAAACCAATCTTCATGCATTGTAATGAATCGTGCACAACAAATGGGATCCTCTATTGGAAGATAACTAATTTGTAACTCACTTTTAAATCGCCAATGCTTCGTACTGTGGCACATGCCGCTAAGTGTTAGATTATTAGGAAGTCAATGTAGCTATGCACTTTTAAATCTCGATTTTTAGACTAATTTCTTTAGAACTGCTCTTTTGGTGTTTAGTTTGTTGTCCTTCCCCCGCACCTCCATTTGGCACGGTTGGCTACGTACGTTGCAAAGGAAGTTCAACATCCATAATATACAATTATGTGTCCAGAATGCTGAGTTCATCTACGAACATAGTGTCGAGGATTTGCATCTAACTTGCTCATTGACTTCAAACGTATTGAGTTGTTCTCCATGCCCCGGCACGATCGTGCACCTACGCGGCTCGTCACACCGATCTGTTTGTTCTGCACGCTCGGCTCATTAACCTCTCCGCAGAGCCAGCCAGGTGGCTCGGCGGGAGAGTCAGTGTGAGAGTCGGCAGGACAGCCGGCGGAAGAGCCAGCGGCTTCACAATTGAAGGGGTATGAGTTCAAATCCTGGTTAAGAGGGGAGGGGGGTGTTGACTCACCCCATAGCGGTTGTCGCCCCCACCATAGGAATATTGAATACTGAATTTCCACCATTGGATCAGGGATGTAAACAAGAGATGGGCCCCACGTCAAAGGTTTTTTTGGGTGTAAATTACATCTTTGACGAAGTGAGTTTCAATAGGATCTTTATGCAGCGATGAATGCACACGTCATTCATTGCGTTACGTCATCGACATAGCCAAAGCATGTCCACTGCCATTGCTAACGTCACAACGCTTCAAACGGCTGCAGGTGCTCGTGAGACGAGGGCTTTGGGGGAGGAGGAGGAATGGGGAGATTGCTGCCAGATTCCCTTGGCCTTATGGATTTACCCAATTTAAATTAACCAGCACCTGGCCTGCAGACCTTCCTGCAGCCTGAGGTTGACCCCATGATTGCGGGTCAGGTGATGTTTATTAATTGTCAACAAACTCCAAAAAAGCTGGGGGAGATTTTGACCACAGCGCCCCCATTCCTTAACACCAGGAATACACGTGCAGAAAGATCCCCCGTATAGTCTGATAAGACTGTTGAGGCAAGTGCTGTTAGTGTGTAGCACCTTTGAAGGCCAGAATGTTACACGAGGAGGTGGGTGGCCAGCACCACGCCTGACCGCCTTTGTCTCTCCAGTGGCAAATGTTTACACACCGCACCAGGTACTCATTTGGGGGAGAGACACATGCAACCTCCAAATATACAGCAGCAGGCGTCAGGGTCGTGACCGAACCCACGACTTCCTGCATACCTGGCGAGGGAGTCAACATCTCGCCACCACGCCGCCCTGTCACGTGACTGGCGTGCCACACACACACACCTACACAGTTCTGTCCCCCGAGCAGTGCTTATATTCGCACGCCACACCAAGTACTCGGTCCCTCGGGCCGAGTTGCCCTCTGGGGACTCTGCGAGCAAAATTCGCTTCCGTTGTCGTGCATTGAGCCTGGCCAAAGTAATCGAACCTGGAGCGGCCGGGATCGTGGCCCAGTGCGATAACCACGACCACACGGCGTCTCGCACCTTGAGGCACGAAACGGAGGCTAGACTTGTCTGTAGCCTGGCTCTTTCGAAAGTTGTGGACAAAATGCTACCTTCTTCAGAGCAGAAATATGTTGAAGGGATGATGAGTCAAGTCGTTCGTGTATAAACGCGCCTGAGCCAACACAGCACGTTGGCTTGATGCTCTTCCTTCCCATATTAGGAAGCCACTGGGTGGAATGCACTTTTAAATCTTCTAGATTGAAAACTAATTTCTTGAGAATGCTTTTTTGTGTTTAGTTTGTTGTCCTTCCCCCGCACCTCCGATTGGCACGGTTGGCAACGTACGGTGCGAAAGAAGTTCAACATACATACAAAAACAACAAATCCCCTGTACAGCCTGTAACAAACTGTTCAGCAAAGTGCTGTTAGCGAGCAGCTATGAAGGTAGGCATGGCGCACGAGGGGGTGGGTGGCCAACACCAGACCCGGCCGTCTTTGTCTCTCCAGTGGTGATGTTTACACACCACACCAAGTACTCATTTGAGTCCGAGTCGACCAAGGGGAGGCCCATGACCCATTCAGATAATCATCACTGGTGTTGGCCGTGAGCGGGAATCAAACTCGGGTCACCGGGTTCGTAGCGCAGCGCGCCGACCGCTACACGACCGTTCCCCACACAAATATGTACACGTACATTCGAACAAGCACGAGCGCTTGGTCCAACAATAAAAACAAAAACACCACAAACGCCACTGAGAGTTAAAATGCCCACCTGTGCCCAGCTTCCCTCATCGGCATCCTGCTTTTCCAATGGGTGCGGTACGACGAAAAAAGACAGGACAGCGCAAGGGGGGCTAGTCAGCGTTAGTAGGACACGTTAGTCGGTGTTAGTGCACGCCAAGCCAGGGTTAGCGCAGCAGAGCCCGTAGCAGAGCCGCCTTTCCCGTAGCGACGCAGCGATCCGCGGTGCCAAGTGAACGTCTCTGCGGGTGCGGCCGAGGCAATTAGCACGGTGGTCTCCCGTCGACTCTCGCACCCGGCATTTACACATTTCATTAGCGCCCGTTAAACTTAGCTCTGTTGCCATCCAAACAAACAACGATTCATATTCTTGCATGTGCACATTTACAAATGGCATTCCGTGCGTACACGAGCGGTGGAACAAATTCCTGCAGGCTCTGTGATTGCCTACGACAGATAATCCACACGTGTATGCACAGTTATGGATTTGTGCATTGATATACCATGATGGTCAATCGATGGCTTACAAGTCTATAACATGTTCATAACTGAACCAACTTAATTTCTCAAAGTGCAAGCCATCACCAATGATAATTTTTATTTATATTTCTGTACATAGAGCTAACTTAAAATGTAGGTTCTCTTAGCCATATTTTCTTGGGTTAGGCCGCATGGTAGTTTTATGTAAAACTTTGATAGGCTTTAAAACAAGTGTATTTATTAATTCGCAGCACCTATACGTGTATAAATAAATATACACATATTTTGCTGTGTGTGTGTGCTTTTTTATAACACATTGCCTCTAAAAGTTATGCACCAAAATTGAAAGTATTTGAATTTTAAGTACGTTAATGGCGCCAAAGCCATTTGGCTTTTGCACAATCACCGCACCGGTCTCACTTCGGGTAAAGCGGGGCGGAAATTCGTACGAGGAAACGCAGCGATTGCTCGTTTGAAAAATGACGCCAACACATGCAATGCAAAAGCTTGTGTGATTGGTTTCGAGCAGCAATTTGTCGAGCGAATGTTGGAACTGCCTCGCAGAGAATTCACTGGCATGCAGTGCGCTAACGTGCACTGCTGGAGGGAAGAGAAGAAAAAACTAAATATAATTTTTATAAATTATTTTTGTAGACGATGATGATGGCGATTATAATTTTTTATAAAGTCAACATTATTACGAGCCCATATGTATGTATTTCCATCCCCAGCAGGACAATATAGCAGTGGTTAAAACTAATAGGAAGGGTAAAAAAGTGTGAAATTAAATGTACTTAATAATGTCTGCAAAGGGACATATGTATTATATTCTTCAAAGTTTGCCGTTCGTTTTCCATAACACAACGATAATGAGACATCCCAAGATCCTAATTATCCTGCAACCACACACAAAGGAACCAGGAACATGACATGGCCCACGGCCGTGGCAAATTCGTTCCTTTCACAAAGTCAGAGATAACGAGGAAAGGAATTGGAGCAAGGTGTACACACCCATCTGAAAATGCACCATAAAATAGTTCATACAGTTAGGAATTTACAAGATTTTGGGACTTTGCAATAAGAAGCCGGAGTCTGGACTGCAATGTTATCGTTATGAGCGAGTATCAGTCATAAACGTTCTCCATTCGTCATGATGGCAGTGACGTGACACTACACGAACATGTAAGCCTCCAAACAACTTAACAATTCCGAAACATTCGCAACGGTAACTGTGAAAACGTTGCGTGCATTCGGGTTTTTCAAATTAACAACTTATTCAAGAGGCATTTACAATAAAACGTTAACAAAACTGCGTCTGTTGGAATTCGGCAAAAACGCAAAAATGAACCTCAACGGGCGATCATTTCCGCGGGACCACAAAGTGGACTTTTGTTACGAAGCGGACGCAAGTCCCGCGCTGGATTTTACAGGGCTTCTCACTCCAGTCCCAAAACCTCACGAGCGATTTCCCCGCTTTCGCAGATCGGCGGAGGCCGCGGGAATAAACGCGACGAAGCACTGACCGTTTTGGGAGCCGCCGCCATGTTTTCCATTTCCTCGTGAGTCACCCACACATTGCCCGTCGACTAGTCAGCGCGAAAGCAGCGGGGGCAGCCAATGCGAGCACGGCGCAAGCCAAAGAAAGCGACAAGAAAGACGGCGAGAAAGTTGTTAGTTTTGGTTAAGGTCCGGACGTCGCCGACAGCACATCACGCACAAAACGGGCCTCGGGCTTTGCTCGGTGGCCGTCATTGGTTATTTGTTATTATCAGCGAAACGTCATACTCAAATTTAAAAATGCTGTTGATTCTCTCTTCAGCACACCGGTGGGCTAAAGAAGTGAATTATTTTGTCCTTTGAAAAAGTGACACATTTTTTACTGTTTTGCCGTGTCGGGTGGTGGAGGGTTACGACACATTTATAAATAACGCGATATCTGACCCAAAAACCTATATTATGAATAATATTGGTCGCGAAAGCCTACGTGTTAAAGTCATTGGTTAAGTTTCGTTTTTGTTCGGTTTCCCCAGGTACGCTAAAGACGTTTGGTTGAATGCACCCCACGCCCCCCCAAGGCGGAGTGTGAATGTACGCAGCGCTGCCCTTTGCTGCCCGGGTTAAATGCACCTGTGTCAAAGGGCCAACCTGCCCCTTTTGTGTCTGTAGACGGATCACTACAGCATGCATTGGCATAGCAATGCTGTAATTGCAAATCAACCTTCACCCTTTGTTCATTGTGGTCCGGGACAGCCGTTCAATCAACCTGAATGTACAGGTTCCTCTCGCTTTAGGCGTTTTCGGTTTGTGCGATTTCATGTACACACGGCTAATCTCTCTCTACCCAACATTTTCTGTATTTTGCGGTTTGAAGTCACCCAAAGTGCCACTATTAAACAATTTTTATCTTACCATGTAAGGCACATTGAGCTTTATAGCACTTTTCAGAAGCGACCTGGCTACCACAAATGATAGCCCAATTAAGTGGCTTATCACGTGGACATTTATAGCAGCCAAATACTCTAAAAACTTGTTTCGAAGTATGGAGGGGAAAACCGGAAGACGCGGAGAAAAATCCAGGCGACCACGGGGAGAGAGACATGCAAACTCCAAATATACAGCAGGCGTCAGGGTCGGGATCGAACCCATGACCTCCTGTATACCAGGTGAGTTAGTTAACATCTTGCCACCATGGCACCCATATGCAGCTGGCGGTGGGACAACATTGTGTGTGTACACTGTGTGTACTGTGTGTGTACTCTGTGTGTGTACTGTGTGTGTACTCTGTGTGTACTCTGTGTGTACTGTGTGTGTACTGCGTGTATTGTGTGTACACTGTGTGTGCTGTACACGCTACTCGGCAGGCTGTCGCCTCGTGCGGTTTTGCTTTGTGCGCCCTTTGTTCGGAACTAATATATGACTAGCGCTTCAAGCGAGAGAAACCCGTACGTTGAAATTGAATATCTCTGTGTGTTAACAACGGTGCAGCAAACGACAATGGCAATACAGTTGTGATATATTTTTTATAGAGACAGTCACGGGTCCTGGTGTAGTTTTAGATGCAAAGACAAATACAGTTAATATTACAAAACACGTTAAAAAAAAACACACGTTTTCTCCTCCGATAACAGAAGAAGCATTAACCGATGTACCGGTATATTACTATTAAACTACTTGTTAAATATACACACGAAAACATGGGCACACATACACTGCTCTGTGCTACACCAAGCTTTGAAATGGGAGCTTTGACTTTGCTGTAATAACTAAGGCTGGGATGACCTAGTTTCATACACTAATCCTCAGGGATGGATATAACAGTGCCTCCGGCTTCCAACATGGGAGGTCGGATTGATCTCTCACCAGCGTGTACCACATACTATATTTAACCACGGCACATAAACACAAATCTTAAACAATCACATTTGACATTAAAATAACAATTTGCAGGGTTTTCTGGGATCATTAAGTCATATCTTTCAAAGAGCGTTGGAATGTTTTTTTATGAATATTATGTTGTTGATAAAACCAAGGAAATACATCTAAATAATTATAATCCATCTTCTTGGTTCTTTCGGTAAAGTCACGTAGAAGGGAAATAATAAAATAATAAAAATAAAACATAATAAAATAATTCTCATGACGTTTCGGCCACAACGCAAGCAGCCGTCCTCAGGTGAAGAACAGGTCTGTCGGAAAGACAGCGTCTGAAACGTCGGGAGAATTATTTTATTATTTTATTATGTTTTATTTATTTTATTTTATTTTTTCCCTTCTACGTGACTTTACCGAAAGAACCAAGAAGATGAATCCCTGCAGTCACGAAAGCTTTAAATCGAAATTTAATTATAATCCTTCAGGGTCCTTGTCAGTCCACTGCTGGATGAAGGCTTCCCCACGCTGTGTCGTTCACGAGGTTTGTTTGACCATAATTAACCACGCTGGTGACGGTAGCCACGGGGAGGAATGGAACTCGGGTGGCCACGTTTGTGCTCACGCTCCACCCAAGGCAAGTAACGCACACCGCAGGCACCGTACGAATCACATTCACACACACAAACAAACTCGGTCTGCATGACATATACATTATTAAAAATGTCACATCTGTCTTTCTTGCACTACAATTTTTATTTGAACATATCTGCACTTCTAATTTTTTTCTGCCCGCTGCAAGATTATCCATAATTTATTCAATTTCACACACGGATTGCTTTTGGCTGCGCACTATCAATATTTACCGTGCGATATCTGCTTTGATTTTTTTTCTCTCTCTCTTTTTTCAGCTCATGCTAGGAATATATGAAAAACATTAAAGCAGGAGGAACGTTGCGAACAGCCAAGGGCAACACGGCCAAATATCAAAACACTGAAGCAAAATAACCTTTCATCTAATAATCATGTTTCTCACATGGCAGGACACTTTAACTCACCACAAGCAATCTGCCAAATGACTCGCTGCAGTATGACCATTGACCAGAGTCGCACTCTCTCCAGCGTGTAACCGTGGTCATCCAGAACAGACCGCACAACGGATAACGGACGCGATGGTCGATCCACAAACACGAAGGCGACATCACAGCGAGACATTTCGCTACTCCTCATGCAGCTGTCTGCTGGCTTGACCACCTGAATGTGAAACTACGTTGTTGCTCTGCATCTACATCAGCAGCCGTACGAAAAACAAAGAGCGAACTTGCCCGGCGAACAGATCTCAGCCTTCTTTTTTGACGAGAGATTTCAACTCATTGTTTTTGGGATCGCCAACTCGGCGGTGCTCACCTTTTTCACCACAGTGGCCACACGAATAGAAGATAAATACACAGATCCACATTGTACCTGATATACTTGTAGGGGGAAGTACTGATATTACCGAACAAACTAAACTATTAGTATTTAACCAGGAAAGGCCCACCGAGCTGTACAGCTCTTTTTCAGAAGTTACTTGGCCACAAATGAAGTGGCTTATCATGTGGAAGTTTATAGCAGCCAAATACTCTCAACGCGTGATGTTAATTATAAATGTGCGGGGAAAAACCATGCCCCGCCACGAGAAGAGAGAACATGCAAACTCCCAATAAACAGGCGTCAGGGTCGGGATTGAACCCGTGACCTCCTGCATACCGGGCGAGGTAGTGAACATCTCGTCACCGTGGCACCACATTGTGCCGGGCCCTGTGGAGAAGGTAGCCGATGAAACCACTGCCCTCATCTCATTCCAGTTCCTCGATTAGTCCACCTGCACGCATTACTTCAGACCACACGCTGGGCCCGACTTCACTTGGCCACGTAAAAAAAAACGTACGCACGTGGCAGGTCTGGCTACCTACGCCCAATGAGTCACGTAATTGTAACAGCGTTGAAATGCAATCCATCACTCGCATCACAGACCGTTGCCCAACAGCCGGTTTTGCTGGAGGTGCCAATTGACTCCAGACGCCATCGAAAGGCTTTCCAAAACTCAACACGCACAAGCGTCAGCTTGTCCCGTTGCTTTTGCAGCACCACGCGAAAAGGGAAAAATGTGTTGCCTCCGCGAACCAGCAACGCTGGGCCGCCACCGCCCGAATCATCGTTTACCACCCGCGCCCTCAACGCAACGTTACGCCGGCAATGTTGCACCGGCAACGTCGGCAGACCGTGCTCGCTCGCTCGCGTGCGCGGCGCCTGTGGTACCGTTCTGGAGGTGGGTGGTGCCGAGGGGCTGGTGAGCGACACCATCTCCTGGATGGCGAGGCGCAGCTTGAGCCGGTGCAGCGGGTTCGAGATGCCGATCTCGCGCTGGATCTCCGTGTCCGACAGCGCCGACATGATGGCGCCGCTCTTGACGTTGGCGCGGCACGCCGCCACGTACCACGCCGGCATGCCCACCCACAGCTGCGTGGGCACAAGCGCGACGCGTGCACGTGCGCTGCGTTACGACGACAAACAGCAGCTGCCCATTCAGAGTGGCGGTGACATCACCGCGGCGCTTGTGCCAGGCTAGGTGCACTTTGAGGACGTCACGTGAAATGTCAAAGGCTCACTGGCAGGAGGTCACAGGACAGACCCAAGTGCCGTGGGTTGACTTGACTGAGATTACTGGCAGATGCTCCACCTGTGCCACCTGTGCCCCCTGCTGCATTTTATCTGCCCAGCTCACAACAGTAAGCACCACTGCTGTGCCCTCTGTGTTGTTGGAGGGCGACTGCCTGCAACTGCCTAGTAGCCTCCTTCACGAGTCCCCTGCATAGAGGTCAATGTTAACACCGCTGCTACCAGTAACCAGCAAGTCCACTCAGCTCCACATCCTCCTGTACCACACCAGCCCATCTCTTCTCCAGCCCATGCAGGACCCGTTTAGCCCCCCCATCCGGCCAAACAGAAGATGCTTGGGCATGCGAGCTACATGACACAGCCAACACAGCCTTGCCTGTGGAGAAGCTCACTGATGGGATTGTGTCCAGACGTTTCAAGGATCTGCGAGCTTCTCACACAATCCAGCCTGGTTAAACCCAGGAAGCATTACATACACACAAGCGCGCTCGCGCGTTCACCTGCGTGCATACACGTGCACGCAGGAACGCTCTCACGCGCGCGCGTGTGTGTGTGCCTTTGCGTGGGGAGCGATAATGTAGCGGTTAGCGCGCTGCGCTATGAACCCGGCGATCCGGGTTCGATTCCCGCTCACAGCCAACACCAGTGACGTTAATCTGAACCTGTCCTGGGCCTCCCCTAGGTCGACTCAGCCTGAAATGAGTACTTGGTACGGCGTGTAAACATCGTCACTGGAGAGACAAAGGCGGTCGGGCGTGGTGCTGGCCACCCAACCCCCTCGTGTGCCGTTCCGGCCTTCATAGATGCTCGCTAACAGCACTTGCCCCAACAGTCTGTTAAGGCTATACGGGGGATCTTTGTCTTTTTTGCCTTTGCGTGCACATGAGAACCCACGTGGATGCAAGAGGTGCGTACAATAAATGCACAAAGATGATGATGCTCTGTAAAACTGACACAGGCTGTTGAGGAAAGTGCCGTGAGCGAGCACCTATTTTTGGGTGGCGCGGTGCCGTTACCACGCCTTGCTTGCCTTTGGCTCCCCATTGCTGATGTTTAGACTACTGCGCCCGGTACCCATATAAAGCCGAGTCGACCTACAAGGGGAGGCCCAGGACCGGTTTGCCGTGGCCAGGATTCGAACTCAGGTTGCCGGATGCGTACATGCACAGAAACAGGTATACACTCGCGTACATAAACTCACGCGTATACGCATGCACGAACATATATCCACTGTTTGGTATGCCGGATTCCATAGCATTATAAGTGAGAACCAATTGAAGCCACCATGGCACAGGAGGAGGCAAGCGACCGTCTGCCTTGGCCATCTCAACGCTGGCGCTAACACAACGCCGGCAGCGGGTGCTGGCACTGGGTCTGTGGGAGATCGACGCGAGATTGCGCTCTGCAGTTACCTCCAGCCACGCAACAACCGTTGGCCCGTCCCACTGTGCGAAGGGAAGGACTTTCCTGCGGGCGTCTTCCAGGAGCTCATGCCTACCAAAAGGAGAGAGAGAGAGGAGAGAGCAATCAGCCACGCGGCAGTTAAGGCTCTCGAATGTAAACCCGAGATCTGGAGGTCTGCCGCGAAGAATGAAACGACGTCAAGGGTCCTTACGAATGGACACGGTGCGTATACGTTGACACGATGCCCGGCAGGATGCGCGTTAAGTAACCACCCCCCCCTCCTCACTGCTGTCCCGTAGGCTTGCACGTTTAGCATCGCAGGAGAAGGGGGGAGTGTTTTGTTGTAACCGTTTACTTTAAAAATGAATATATTTAGACTGCCCGAAAACTGGGTCGTCCAAGGTGTTGACATTATATTCGCGTCCATCTGTCCGGCAAACTAAACTGGGTTATTCAGAATTGTAGGTGTCCATGGCTTCTTGTAATGTTTAGCTTGAGCAAGAGAACAGATGACCGTGGATTTAATGTCAAATCCTTGAGACGTCAATATAATTTTCAAATAATGGCCTGAGAGTTAAGTTCAGATGATTTTCTATATTGTTACATTCCGAATTTAGATTTTCTAACAGTTGTACATAAAATAACATGTTGCCGCGGTTTAGGGCTGAGTCGGAACATTCATGCAGACACAATCCATGCGACAGGGAGCATCAGGAACAAGGTATTAGTGTCATGACCACGGCCAGAGACACGCATTTCAGGGGAATAAATGCAGGGCAAAAGCAGGCGGAGTCCCACCAGCGCTTTAGTCCAGTGCGATCTGAATAAATGTTTTCCGAATTAAATTCTTAAGACAATTATTTTAATGAATGTTGACGTCTAGGTGTGCCGACAAAAATTCATGACTCCAGCTGCAAATTACCAGGGTTTTTTTTTTAGCCGATCACATACCGCTTCGTCGCAATCATCACACACGGCCATTGGCGCCACAGGATTGGATGCAAGTAATAATCACACCTTCGCTATCTGTTAATTGTGCATGCACACGGCCCGATAAAAAAAAAAACATTACTGCAGCTTCTGCTCCGATAATTCCCAGCTGGAGTGACAAATACTTGTGACAATTAAAACATATATTTATATATAATAAACTATGGCACCAACTTTGAAGCCCAATTTGGAGCGAGCAGACCGAGGCTGACTAAAGGCTTTAATTTAATCCGGTCGCGTCTAAAGCTTCTGCCAGTTCAAGTCTGCCACATTCGCAGAAGCAAGCGCCATTTTTGACGGCATTCATTTATTCCCCTGAACGACTTAGAGGGAAGGTGGACTTACCCGGATCTTTTTTTTTACCACGGAATGGAGGAGAGGGTGGAGAGGGGAGACAAGGGGGGAACGCATTAAAAATGGCGGCACAGCGGAAAGGGGCGCGTGGCAGGTGGAGGAGGAGGTGACATAGGCAGGGAAATCCAAGCTTTGTGCATACGCACAGTCTTGAAAATAAGCCTTAGAAGTAAAATAAAGATAGCCCAAAACGTGTTGTTGTTTAACAATTGCTTTACTTTCTACTGCCACACACACAGAATCACTGCAATATGTGGAACACTCCGCTAATGAAGACGGCCTCCACACCTCCGTGCACGCCAGCCCCAGCGTATGCTGAACGGCACGTAATGCGCAGATTCGAGTCCACAGCGTGGAATCATCCCATTTATCGCAGAGGATTTCTCAGCCAATGACCAACTTTCCAAACGCGAGTCTCACGTCCTTTATTTCTGGGCTATCCTTTGCGGGCTTACTTTACTAACAGGAGAGGGTTGCTTGTCATACGTGATACATGGCCATGCGCGCAACACACCGGTAAGGAAACAAAAAGGTATGGTTTAAAGTAAAACGCAAATGAGATGAATTATTGCTAGAACGTGCCCAATAACGTAATGTCTCGGTTCTTGTTCATCCCTGCAATGAATGCATCCCTGTCAACCCTTATGGTTTACCCGTATTCTTGTACAGGCAAATGTAGTTTTTTAGACCCATACGGCGTACAACTGTTTCTAAACGGGCAAAACATGTTTTTGTCAATTTGTTTGTGTTTCTCCCTTGTGATGGGACTTTGTAAGATGAACGTTGAGATTTGTAAGGGCACAGGGTGACCAATAAGGTCTAAATTGGTCTGTAATAAGGCAGGCACTGATGAGGGGTTGTCAGGTATGTAGTGAGTGAATGTAGTGATGAGTGTTGTAGTGGGTGCGTGTACTAGCGGTGAGCGTAGTGGTGAGTGTAGTCGTAGTGAGTGTAGTAGTGGTGATTGTTTATTTGTTTGTGTTTCTCCCTTGTGATGGGACTTTGTAAGATGAACGTTGAGAATTATAAGGGCACGGGGTGACCAATAAGGTCTGAATTGGTCCGTAATAAGGCAGGGCACTGATAAGGGGTTGACAGGCATGCGAATGGAATATTCCGCGTGGGTTTGTCGGAGACTATGACAGCATCACGAGGACCCTGCGTCTAATGGTTGATGTTGCGCGCTTCATTCTGTGGACACGAAAGACGTCTTTGTTGCCCGCAGTGACTGCAACGTGCCCACGACAAAGGGGGCCGTATAAAAGCTCGAGCATAACGGTCGAATCAAAAGAGAAACAAAAGGATGATCGGAGATGAATGAGAAATGCTTTGATAAATTGTGTTGGAGACAAGCCGATAAAATGGCAGTTAATGACATACAGCAGAAATGTTTTATGCTTTTAGATTACGGTTAAACCAGCAAAGTCGAAAGCTAATAACCCACAAGAGGAAAAGCATGAATTAGCAACTCTTTCATCTCTTATATATATAAACATCTGCTTCAATATAGAAGGCTTCCAAACACGGGTAAATTACATGGTGAATAGCACAATGCGAATTTTAATTAATAACCCCACAGCTATTTAGGGTAAACATTGCCTTTTTGCTTTGAGGTTATGTATTTATACTATAAATGGTTACTCTAGTAGGATAAAAACATTCATCTTTATGTATAATGGCAGGAAAATGTAACTCTGTTTACCAGTCATTATGCAGGACATCTTAGTGTTGTACCGACTTGATAAATGCCCTTTGTAAAACGACTATCAATAGTTTGGTCTACATCAGCACCACGTTCCATCATGCTTTTCAGAAAAATATAACGTTCAAATTGTTTGTGTTCGATATTCACAACAACAGCAGATCATATATGTATGCATAAATGTTGAACTTATTTCGCACCGTACATAGCAAACGTGCTAATCGGAGGTGTGGGGGAAGGACAACAAACTAAACACAAAAAGCAGTTCTAAGGAAATTATCTGGTGATCTAGATGCAAAAGTGCATAGCTCCAGTGGCTTCCTAATATCGGAAGAGCGCTCCAGACAGCCACAGAAGCGCATCTGAACGCGCGCGATGCAGTGACTTTCTTTGTCCGATGGCTCGCCAAAAGCCGCTGCGAGATTCAAGAGATAATAGCAATATATACATAGAGATTTACAGCAATATGTTCAAACATAATAAGTGATGTGGGGGGGCTTAAACAGTGGTAACTGTGAGTCCAAAGAATATAACTTTTCGCTATGGATACATCAATATAATATAGGCACAATGTGGGGGAATTCAAGTTGCAAACCCAGTGGCTATTCAACTCTACTTCATATAAGACGACCGAAAATTGACATCGCTAGGGAATTTTTGTTTAAACCTTGCCAGCGTTCACAACCATGTTTGAACTCTAAAAAACTGGCATGTTTCAAGGCGGTCAGTGGAGATGTCTTAAGGCGGCTGCGATAGAAACGCTGACTTTCACCCTCGTGGTATTAATGTTCTTCGATGCACTTGCAGGAACATATTTCCAACGTAGGTCAAAAAGAGCGCATTTTACCTAATTAAACTGTACAACCGTATTGAGGTGGCACAGGCCCTTAGTGCTGTTTGATACCATATCGGAAGCAGGCTGTTTATAGAATCTAGTTACGTGATATCGAGACTAAATAAGCAAGCGTATGTTCTTCATTGAAATGCAGACATAGTGTGGAGCATGCTTTATACATAGATACAGAGTGTACACAAGAATGTGGCATATCTACAAAGGCAACATTTTAAAAATGCACGCTACGAGCAGATGCTGGATTAGCAATACTGCACGTTACCCAGGGAATAAAACACAATCTAGCGGCTACTTATGCGTCATGCTTAATCAAACCATGCATGCTGCAAATGTTGCAGTAACATGATGCCAAAAACATCCGCAAAGATAAATGGAACACGGCTTAACAGCCTGAAATACGATTTAGCAGTTACTACCGCCGTGCAAGCCTTTGCAGCTCTCCAAATGACTTTATTTTGTCACGAGCTGCCAGAAAATGATTTGAACCTCACTCTTATCGTACATTAAAGCGAAATTCAGTAGAAGTGGTCCAATCGTTCAAAAATAGGAATTCAGAAAATGACGGACGCATCTGATTGAGGTGAAGAAAGTTTTGAGAAAACAACATATTTGGCGGGGGGGGGGGGGGGGAAGGAGAGTATTTGACATTCGAAAACCATCTCCCGCGTGTCGGCATGTCATCTCAAGTGGCGCACTGCGACACGCAGGAAAGTGCTCGGCTTATTTTAGATTTGGTGACTATTCATTTCACATGTTTTAAATCGGTCACGAATGGAACAAGAGTCAATATGTCCACTGCTTGGCTGTGTGGGGGTGACGGGATTTATTTTGGCCATTCGTTCACCACGCTGCAGGCAGAAGCATAGACGCAGAGTAGTACAGGACAACAATATCCGTTATGGGACCTCCTTTGCCAGTACCAAAATATGAGTATTGTGGTTAATGTAGACATGATTCTTGTAAAAGGTTTCAGTTTGGTGTTTTAACATCTTAACGCCTGTTTTGTTGCCATAAAAAAGGGGAAAACTTATTCTCACATTTTGAAACTGGCAAAGGATGTCCCATGATGTAGCTGCTCACCCCGAGCTCTCATTACTCTGATAGTGATTGTCTTTGTGCTGTACGTTTTTTGGCGTCCTCTGGTCTAACACCTTTTGAGACGAGGCTCCAAAGAAAGCTGTCTCTGGTGTGGACCAATCAGTTTCAAAGACAATGCATACATGATCAGAGGATGTTTCTTGTTTGCATTCTGACCACAAGTATTGTGGTTAACGCAGACATGATTCCTTGTAAAAGGTTTCAGTTTGGTGTGTTAACATCTTAACGCCTGTTTTGTTGCCAGAAAAAAGGGGAAAGCCTATTTCAAACAATATCCATTGTTGTAAAACTAATAACTCTGCTGATAACATATCCCCGCAGCAGGTCATAACAGCCGTTTGTTCATTTTATTTGGTGATGCTGCATTGGCAGTGAGGCCACAAGCGCAAATCTAAAACAAAAACTCAACATGTTGGTCAATCACACTGTGTGGCCTTAAAAGGAACAAAAACTATATAATAGGCGGTGTTTAAGGCAGTGGCTCTCCCCTCGCCCCTCCACTATTTTCCATCCTTCCCCTACCCTGAGTGATCCCCAAGTACCCCTCTATCGCTGCCACTCGTTCCTCAATCCTTGTAACATGCCCCTGCCATCTAAATCATTCTGTTCTGTCACTGTTCTGTAAGTCTAGCGCCTTGAGTGAAGGTGCTCTATGAATATAAATTAAACAGAATTTGATGTCTTCTAGGTTCTTTCGGTAAAGTCACTTTACCGAAAGAACCAAGAAGATGAATCCCTGCAGTCACGAAAGCTTTAAATCGAATACATTTTATGTGCTATGACAAAGGATCATTTCCCAAAACGTTGCCTATTTGAAATATAAATTGTTCCCATTTAAGAGAGCGTTATTGACGAATGTGTGTGAGTGTTTTGCTTTATGCATGCCGGTTACCCATCTGAGCACTATCCAGGCTCATCGCTGCTTAGCTTCCAGAATGTGCTTTTTGTTTTTAGTTTGTTGTCCATTCCCAGCACATCTGATTAGCACGGTTGGCTATGCACGGTGCAAAAGAAGTTTAACATACATAGGGTCATATTGTTTCAGCAGGCAGTGCCCAATGAGCTGCTTGTCTCTATTTTATGGGTGACCTGCGACAGTAAAGATGTTATACAGTACAGATCTTATGATAAATACATACATACTAATATACACACACACCATTCATTAAAAACACGTATTAATACATATTCTAAGAGCTCGCTCAACTGCAAATCTCTGCGGTTGATGCACGCACAATGAGTGGACTGCACGTCATGTTCTGTCGACGCATGGAGCGATGAATTCCGTCAAACGGGACCATGGTGACGTCGAGCTGGCATGGCCACTGAAGGGGGCAGCAACTAGACTTTGTATATTTTTTAAGGTGTGATGTTGTCTACCTCGCCTGGTATGCAGGAAGTCGTAGGTTCGATTCCAACCCTGACATCTGTATATTTGGAGTTTGCATGTTCTCCCCGGGTCCTCTGGTTTTTCCCTCCACATTTAGGAATATGCGTTTATATTAATTGGATTATTTTGCTGCTATAAATTCCCACATGATTGCAAACTTCGTTGAGCTAATAGCTCAGTGGACTTTACCGAGCAAGATAAAAGTAGCTTAGCTTCAATTGTATATATTTTCTTTGGGATTTGTTTAACTTTCCTATAACTTTGCACCCCTAACGAGTGCTTGCATTGGTTGTTGTTGTCATGTTCTGGCCTGCCCCCGGACAGCTCATCGGATTCCCCCAGTATGAATAAAGATTCTGATGAAGAAAGTTGCCCGACGTGGGAATGCTGAAGAGGTGAGCCCAAGTCACTTACTTCTTTTTCATTCTCCTTTCCTTCTCCGCCTGCGTCCCCAGTTTCCCAAGTCCCAGGGCATCCTGGGTAGCACTGTCGACTTCCCCAAGGCTTCCTGCTGAAGACAGGCTCGTCGGGTCAAAGTCAAAAGCACCAGGGCCGGTGCGCACCTCCGATCCCAGTGGTGGACATTCCACGTTCCCTGAACAAGACCGGCATCCGATTGGAACAGACGAAGGTGCGACGCTGCAAAACTGATTTGCTCCCTCCACTACTCGTGGAAGCCCTTCCACTTGAGGGGGCGGGGGGGGGGATGGCTTCTCTAGAGCCCTGCTCTAGGACGATATTCTGACCAACCTTTCACACACTGGTCAGATGTCTTGGAATAGGTGGAGGTCAGGTTTACCCCACCACGCGCGCGACCTGCCGGTCGACTGCGTTGTTGTGACCCGTTTGCACCGCTGGATGAACAGGGGCGGGGTGGATAAAAGAAAGCTGCACCAGTTGGTTCAACTGCCGCTGGCAAGAGATCGAATCGGAACGGCAACCGCTGGAAATGCAAGTCCAGTGTGCTCACCAAGTGAGCACCTATGAAGGCCGGAACGGCACACGAGGGGGGTGGGTGTCTCCCCAGTGGCGATGCTTTTACACACCACACCAGGTACTCATTAGAGGCTGAGCTGACCTACGGGAGACCCAGGACCGGTTCAGATAATCGTCACCGGTGTTGGCCAGTGAGCAGGAACCGAACTCGGGTCGCCGGATTCGTAGCGCAGCGCGCCTAACCGCCACGGCACCCTCTCCCCCTACTACACCGCCTGGCGGCAGCATCCGCGGCAAGAGGACACTTGCGCCAAAGCTGACGGCACAAGCGCACATGTACCTGGGCCTTGCAGAGGCATCTCCTTAATAGCCCCGGTGATCCGAGCCTTCTCCTTCTTGCCGAAGAGGCGACCGATGGAAGGACTTGATCCCTTTCTTTTTCTGCGCCTTGTGCAGGGAGTCCTGGCTGCTGTTGCTGCTGCTGGGATTGCTGGCTTGGCCATCCTGGGACACAGGTGGCCTAAGCGGAGGACACAAACGCAGCACAGCGATACTCAAAAGAGAGACAACGTAACGTAACTGATCGATCCGCCGCGCGATTTCATAAACGTTGCTCGGCTTGGATGTCTTTCGAGCAACGCGCACGTGCCAGCCTTTGCAGCGATCGAATCTGCTTGGACGAAGGGGCAAGGGCTTACTTATCTAGAATTCACCACGTTGGTGTGTGCGTGGGTTGGTGTAGGTCGGAAAAGTAGACGTGAAAGCGTAGAGGTAAAGAACAACCATGGATTTGTCTGCGCTGCCTGCCACTGCCCACCACGTATTCCCGCGATGACCACCTGTTTGTGCATGGTGGTGTACCATCCAAGCACTACGGAGGCTCAACATTGCTCAGCTTTCAAGACATAACTATGAATTTCCCATGTAGACTCTCGGCGTCCACAGACTCAGTGAAGACGGTCACCGTATCGCGTGCTTCCAGATGCGCTTCTGCGGCCATCTGGAACACTCTTCCTTCTGATATTAAGAAGCCACTGGGAGCTATGCACTTTTAAATAATCTAGATTGAAAACTATTTTCTTTAGAACTGCTTTTTGTGTTTAGTTTAATGTCCTTCCGTTACACCTTCGATGAGCACGGTTGACTACGTACGGTTCAACATACACACATATGTCCAGTCAAGCTCTAAAACACGGACGGCGTATACATTTCCAGAAGATCACGCCGACAAACCTGCATTCCAACAATAACATTGCCTGCGTTAGAAGCACTCAAACTGCAAAGGAGCGTAATATCTTTAAATTACTTTCTTGAAATATTTTCTTCTAAGGAGAGCGCTGCCGTGCTTGACAGACTTGCTGGAGGAGTCTCAATTACCAAGGATGGAGCCCGAGACGGAATTGGATACAAATGGTCACTTTCGCCTTGCACCAAAATTGCAGTTGGCAACCCAGAAATATCCCGCTCAAGGACAGAGATAGAATTTAGCTCTGGGGAGCGGGGGAGGGGGAATGAACCCTCTGGCGTCAGCCGCATGGCCTCAGCAAAACCTTCGCGAGGACATTTCTCTCTTGCGGAGGAGAAGCGCCGAGCGAGTCTGCGAGACGTTGAGTCGCAGCTAGGCTAATGGTCAGCAGGAAACGCAATTACCGTTCTTGCCCACCCTCCCCCCACTCCTTCCAAATTGATGCATTATCCTGCCGGAGAGGGCCTACAAGTTGCAAAGAAGACTGTGAATTAAGTACGTTGGGAATTGCAATGACGTGAGGATATTTTTGTTCTGGCGAGGATCGATCTAAAAATAAATGCAGTTAAAAAATATTTTTTACTTTGAATGTTTTGCTTCGCGATAGCAATGGTGCCGGTGGGTTTTAACTTGCAGGTAAAATAACATTAAGACTAAGAGCCTGCTGCTTCCACAGCGTACATTATCAAGCCTCATCTAGGACAATGCCATTTCACAATCTTAACACTTTGAGGAGAAATATATTTCAACTTTCAACTGACATTCATAGCATTAATTGAAAGCAGCCAAAGAACCGAATATCATTAAACAAAGCTATTTAACTAACAGACAAATGCGACAGTAGGTCAATGTAAAAGGAAAGCTGCCATGCACAAACTGTATGGCGTAAGCGTGCCCATAGATTGATCACATTCCAGTGGCCATGACTGTTTGACCCCCTGCCACTGCATGTAGATAGGTATTGGGGCTGACAACACAATTTTGTCCATCTGTCGGGGCCAATTACTGAAGCTAAAAAGGGGTGAATCGCACCGTTATCCGGGTGCAATTGTTTGGAATGACCATCGATGTCCTCAACAGATAAGTGCTAGATGGTGGATGGATTGTCACTTGCTTATCAGTGCAGAGGCACTCTCCAGGTAATCGCTGCGAGGCTCTGCACAGAGTAAATGCTTTCCAACATTAACCCCTGACCTCTAGGATGAGCCTCTCAGCTATTCCAAAGACTGCACCCGAAACCTCGTGTAAGCCGCTGGCTTAAGACACCATGAATATACCTGACAAGGGTAGATGACCAAGTGTAATAATAGCAAACACCCCCTTACAGCAAAATATATTGTTTCAATAAGTTGGCAAAACTGCGTCGGCTGTGGTGCACAAGTACAACTAACAAAACAAAGATCAACACTCATAATAGAGTTTTTTTTGGGTTAGATCGCGTCAATATATAAATGTGTCGTTAAAACCCGCCACCACCCGACACAGCCAACTAGTAAGAGTTGTCACGTAAACAGAACGTGGCCAATTCGTCACTAGTACAGCACTAACCGGTGTGTTGGAGAGCCAAGCCACAACATTTACAAACTGAGTACGACGTTTCGCCAGTAATTACAACCGGCATTCATCAGGCGACAGCCAGATTTGTGGAGAAGTCTAACTGTTTCGCTCCTTATATAGAGGCGTAGATGTGGTGACCACACTTCTACGCTCTTGCGCAAAGTAGGGGTGGGGGATTAATGAGTCAACGTATCTTATGAATACGTATTATGCGCTTAGGGCAATGGACCTTCTGCAGCCGTTCGCAGTTCTGGATACGTTGTTAGTTGCCAATCTGTCACCTGACTTGGTCATTCAGCTCCCATTCATTCCTTCCCACGGCCGGCTCAAGCCCACTCTTCTTCACACTCGTGATAGTACGTGCGCATCTTTCCTTATATCAGTGCAATGCACTAATATGTTTACATCCTGTAAAATAATGTCCTTATTATTATGCATCCATAATTAGGCACGGATACAGCACGTGCACTTATAGCGTCAAAACAGCAGTTAGCTGTAGGTTATCCTAGCAAGGCGGGAGAAAGCGAGACTATGTTTACGTTGCGTCATCTTATTTCTCATTGCAATGCATGTATAGGAACATATTTACACATTTGTCAACGCAATAACTGACACTTTTGGTTCTCAACTGTCCATCACAGTGCATCAGACTGGTTGACTGATTAGGCGTACGAGCGGTGGCGCAGCGGTTAGCACGCTGCACGATGAACTCGGCGATCAGAGTTCGATTCCCAGCCACGGCTAAGATCAGTGATGAGTGATATCCGAACCAGTTCTAGGTCCCTTCTTTCACGACTCCCCGCACTGAGCGGCACCGTCAAACAAGCCCCTTTTGCCTGACGGGGCATGGCAAGGCCTTCGGCAAGGATTGCAATGCATGTATAGGAAAGGCAAGGAGTTTATTGGCAAGAGGGACTCGTAAATTTGATTGGTTTGGAAAAGCACCGTGTGGACTGAGGGCACACCACCACCGTCGTTGGCTTAATAGGCGACAGAGGCTCCGGTGAACTCCACTCACCAGACTGCTTGTGCAAGCCCCACAGTTCACAATGACAAACCAAGCGTCTGCGCTGCAATTTGCGGACAGTTTAGTGCCCGTGGATTAATGTCCGCGAGTAAACAGCCTGCGTTTTTTGACAGTGTTATCTATCGGCGATCCGGATTTAAGCAACAGTGGAGTTATGATTTAAGCACCGGACAGGAAACCCTCCAGCACGAGCGAAGCTATATCACGATGAACGACACCATCTCAAATGGGCGCCGCAACATAAGCAATGTGTGCGTTTTTGTTGTGTGCCGTAAAACCATAACTGTTTATGTCTATCTCTAGGGCTTTGGCATGGCCTGCAACAAAAGGTCCCCCCCCCCCCGACACCCCCACTAAAAATGGCAAGAGTTCTGCGAAATGACATACATTTAGTGCCGTGGTCTCCGCTCGATCCGCAAAAAACCTCGGCCTATTTAGCGGACAAATAAAAGCCCGCGACACGAAACGCAACTTGCGAAAGGCGCTTTGGGTGAGATGGAACGGCGAGTAGCTAGGATTGCTCAGCGGTGCCAGGGCGTCTTCGCACAATCAGCGTCTTGGCAAGTGTGCGGCTCCAGCCGTAGTAGATTCAGCGGGTAGGTGGACAATGTAATATGCACTGCCGCTGGAATGCCAAGTCAACAAATCTCTCTGCTGTGCGATGGCAGAGGCGCATTTGGCTCAAGACTGTTTCCAATAAGGCCAGTGCCTGGCCTTACTGGGGATTTTTTTGTAAATAATGTAAATTTACAAAAATGTAAACATTGAAGCTAGTAATTTTTTTCACGTCATAACTCAAGAATTATCTAAGATTGGTGCTTTGCCATTTTTTGCATTGATTTTCATTCATCAATTGATCATGTGGTGTTATGAAAGTACAACAAGTTTACTGTGAGAATACCAAATTATTACAAACACAAAAAATATGTATAACGTGACATTTACGTCATTAATCATAGACCAGAGAGTCAAATAACACCCCCGCCCCCCCATTGCCAAAAGGGCAGAGGGAAGCTTTCATCCAGCAATGGATTCAACAAGGGCCGGAACTAATTATGACAATCTAAAACAATTCGACAACTATGCTGTCCGACACCTGCTTTTAATGTCCGTAACCCAGGGCCGTCATGGAAATATGAAAGTATTGTTGAACTTTTTTCGCAGCGTACATTGCCAACTGTGCTAACCGAAGGTGCGAAACTCCATTGTGCCAATGGATCCGCACCTTGGTTAGCTACGTACGGTGCGAAAGAAGTTCAACATTAATACAACGGCATAGTTCCCCCAAAGAGTCTTAACACACTGTTGGTGGGATAGGTGCTGTTAGCGAGCACCTATGAAGGCCGGAACGCCACACAAGACAGAGCATGGGTGGCCAGCACCACGCCCGGCTGCCTTTGTCTCCCTAGTGGCGATGTTTTTTCACTTCGCACCAGGTACTCAACTGAGGCTGAGTCGACCTCGAGGAGGCCCAGGGCCAGCTAATCATCACTGGTGTTGGCCGCTCCCCACAACGTACACACATTTTCGTACGTGCGGTGCTGTCTCATCTGAGCCACCGGTACCGAGCGCAATACAGCGGACCCGTCCGTCCGGCCGACGTACGCACGCACAAGCACACACGTACCCTCGGAGTTCCTCCTGGCTGGCCGAGCGCGTGAGCTGCGTGCCCTTCTCGGCGCCCACCCTCGGGCTGGGCGGTGGGGACGTCTCGCACCGTATCGTTGCCTTGTCCTCCCTCGGGTCGTCCCGCGACCCGCCGGCCTGCGGAGGAGCCGAGGGGAAGGTTCGCTAAGGCGGGGCAGCGAGTGTTTTTTCGCGTGGGCGCGCCGAGCTGGTGGCGATGGCGATGGGTCGGTGGGTGGTGGTGGTGATGGGTTGGGTGGCGGGACACCACGTACACGGTGGTACAACGCTCGTAAAGCACGCGCGCGTACAGAAGATCGAGGAAATACGCTAAAAAAAGGCAATTGTGTCAAAGCTCACTTCTTTGCGTCATTCTGAGATCCATAATCGGTCAAGACCGTACAAAGCGCTCGATGAAAGCAGTGCACAGCCAATTGTATGCAAGCATTATCAATGGCATGCGGACGTACTATCGCCAAATGTGTTATAGTCATGTTAATTGCTATGATGCATTGACGTTCTACTCCAGCAACTTGAGCTGCACGAGAACTTCCGTGAACGCTCCATCTGACATAAACCACCATTCAGCTTCTCTCTCTCTCTCTGGTTATCTCCCACTGTGGAGCGCAACGGATATTTTATTTCCGAAGGAAATACGAATTTGATCGATTCAAGCCGGAGAGAGAAAGCAGTTAAATTAAGACGTCACTCAGAATCACTCCTTTAAAAGGAACAAAGTTTGGTAATGGTTTTCCGCAGATCGTTACAATTTCACGAGCCGAAAGTGGGGAAAGCGCACTTTGAACGTGTTTGTTTTGAGCGTTCGTCAAATATCACTTTGCGAGCTACAAAGCGAAATCTCGCAATCAAAATATTGAGAGAGAATACTGCTCCGAAAAAAATTGGTGGGAGTGCTAGAAGGCAATTGGCGTTTAAGAATTGCGTGAATTTCTCTAACGGCAACGGCTCTCCGTATATCATTCAGAAACACAGAGGGGGGGGGGGGGGGCGTCGGAAAGGGGGATGAGGGGAAAATATATTGAGTTTTTAAACACGTTTTTCATCTCAAAAGACGCCCCCGAAATGTGACGTACGTTGAAAAGTTTGGCAGCGAATGGATAGAATTAATTACGTGTTTTTTTTTTACGATTATTGCAAGCCCTCTGTGTTCCTTCATGAAAGCTAAAAAGCACACCAAGCACAAGTAAACTTCCCACGACACGCATTAGCTGCATAAAAATAAATTGTAATTTGAAAAAATAAACAACAACAAAAATCAACAAGAGATTAAAAATAACGCATTAAAAATGTTTCTGCACTGCTGATGATATAATATACATTATGCACCATGAATTTGATGCCTTTTTTATCAAAAAAATGTGAACGTTTCATTTTATACCCGATTAATTCAGAGGAAGTGTAAATCGGAAGCATTATTTACATACAAGCTGTCGTAAGGGAACTGCCATCGGCTGATTATACATGTTTGTGATTAGCTTGCGACATTTTCCAATTTATTTAAGATTCAAAACAAGGACTGGAAACCTCCCATTCTAAATTATCCAAAGTGACGTGTATTCCAGTAGTTTTTCTTTGAGAATTATAACAATCAGTGGCGTCACAACTGCCGATGCCGAAGTTTAAAATTGTGAGTTTTTTAGCGATTACTTGAAATGAACCAACACTCCGGTACCAAAAACTATAACGTTAGAGTTAATGACAAGACCTCAATCGTCATGGCAATAGACTCATGTCATGAGAGCAAAGTGCCAAAATTATTTAAGTTTGTTTTAACTATTGTTCTATCAAAACCGGATTGTTTTTAAGGATCAAAAATAATAAGCTAAGCAGGTCTGAGCCTGGGGTATTGTCAGCTGCTAGGTGGCTGCATTGTTAGCAGAGGGCAGTGCAGCAAATTCCGTTGTACTGTACCGTACACCCGCGCCTATGTTCCACACCGTCATCAACTCGCACTGACCAGGGGTGGTAAAGTATGGTGAAATAGGATACACTCGCCATGGTGGATTGACAAAGCGACTGTAAGTATGCATGGCCATGCCGCTTAAAAACATCCCACTTGTTGCTTTACCGACGCTGCAAGTCAAAATAAGTGACGTTTGGCTCACAGTCGCAAAGCAGGCGAAATATATAATCACTTGGCGAGTGGCTGCAAATCTGACAATATCAATTCTAGCGATTCCAGACCCATTCAGTGACCAGGAAGAATTACTTTAGCACAATGGTTTTGTAAAGTGGCCTGCAAATATGGTTATTGAAGAATGCAACCGCAAGTACGGAGATGTTTTAAACAAGTGCGAATATCATTGCTGATTAATGCAATAAACTCGTCCAGTATTTATCTTTCTTCTGACTATTGAAACCGAATCCCACTTTAGAACCTGGGAATCGTTTTCAGCTACAACGGCTGCCAGCAGCAACAGCAGATTTATTTTAATCGTTTCAGTGCAAATCCCATCGTCGCAAAAACTTCACAAACATTGAGCGTACAACGTGGCACAAACGCGGGGAAAAAACAAAGAAAAAAATTAAAATTCATAATGCAAATAATAGTGACGCCTACGGAAAGCATAACATCAAAAGGGATACACGGTTACCTTCCTATGATGCTTCCTTAAATCACTAGGCTGAGTGGAACGACAGCAATAAAAGAAAAAAAGAATCAACAGTGAAGGAGTGCGGAAAAAATCTAGAGTTTATAGTCGCGATGTCTAAACTGTGGCAAATATTACAGACATGCTTTGCATTTTACCGTGAATCAAACATTTTGAGACACCACACACACACCACCGAATCAGTGATGGGGAAGGATCCTACGAACATTTGTGGAAATTATAGGTCAATTATTATATGGAAGGACCTGGCCCTACCATTGAAATGTAGAATTTGCATCACGAGCTCAGGATTGTAAACGGGAAATGAATGCCACCAAAAGTTTTGTTTGCACAAGTAATCATCGTTGAGCAATTTTGAAGTATGTTTTCGCAATTACGCCCAACAGCGGTAAAAATGCCGATTTATGTTCAAGTCAAAAAATTTCATGAAAACGTACGTACTCACAATGTTGAAAATGAGGATTAGTAATGACGCGCTACCACAGCGCAATGCGTTTACTACAATTTTAACACATTTCTCACCGTATAGATTTGGGTTTTTTTTTGTTGGTTAACCGTTGTGTCATGACATACAATTATTCTGTGACCATATAAAAATCAGAGTGACCTCTGACAGTCGGAAGGAGAAGGAAAAAATAAAGGGCCACGGATTTATTTGAGGTCATACGCTGTAATGGCACCGTCGCTGTGCTCTTTCCGAGCTCAAAGATCAATAAAAAGCCACGACCATTGAATTGAGAGAAGTCGATTAATTTATTTATTTCTCGGCAGAGAGAGCACGCGGAGATGAAGCAAGGCTTCAGCAATCGTTTGCCCCTAAATTCTGGTGGATTCATCGTCGTTATATATCCCCAGCGAATGGAAGGGTTTTATCCCGTTCAAGCCGATGAAAAAAGGTGGTCAGTGTCGAGTAAAGGCTACCACGCATGGCTTTTGTGGGAACAGGGCTCGCTGTTCATGATTCTAGCTAAAAAAAGAACCACATTTTCCCAAGTGTGGCAATGAAGGCCTGTGCCCTAGGCCTGGGTTATATGAGACCTATTGTTGGCAAAGAATGTGAGGTTCATCTGCAGGCCTAGTGACACCAGATCCCGTTGACAATTTGGTGCGATGGGCCATACAGATGAGCCAGATTTACAATGGGCTTCCTCCTGAACAACGTTTACAGGCAACCACATTTATGAGTCATAAACACGTGGTCCTCGGAAAGACCTGGAGAACGGGATCATATACATGACCCAATCAGGTCGGGGCCTTCCTTCGCCAGATCTCACGAGATCGGGCGCGTTCCAAGTTTAGCTCGGACGGTGTTTTAGCACGGCTGACCACCGCACGCAATAGACACGTGGCAACAGGCATCGTGGCAAGTGCCGCACACATCCACCGTTGTCCTGCTCTCCGTCTTCACCAGCTCGCACTGACCAGCGTGGTGAACGACGGACGGTCAAATATCGCTGACGGCTCACAAGGCGTGGGAGGGATGGGTGGGGGGGTAGGCCCTCACCCAACCCAGCAGCAAATCGACAATATCGGCCTGTACCTGTAAATGTCGAACACAGGGTCCAAGCGGTGACTTGGCTATTTCTTTATTAGCCCACGTTACGTACGAGCGCTCGGCGGGCAACCGGGTCGGCGGGGTAACGTACGCGCGCCGCTCGCACGCGCCGCTCGTTACCAGCGTCATGGCCCCGTGGCGGTCCGGGTCGTGCGCGGGGCTGTGCGTGAGCCGCTTGGGCGTGGCGTATCCGCTGACGGGCGCCGAGTTGGTAGCGAGCGTGGCGGTGGCAGTGAGCGAGCCGGGGATGGAGCGCGCCGATCGCAGCCGTGGCATGGGCATGGTGCTGCTGCCGCCGCTGCTGCTGCTGCCACCCACACGGATCTCGATCTCCTCCGCCAGCTGCTCCGTCGACTCCTTCTCCTCCTGGATCAGCCTGCTCAGCACAGATGCGCCCACACACATGGCCACGGCCGTCACCGAGCGAACTCTTGGCAGGCAGCGACAACGTCAAGGGGCCGGTGCACCGCAGCGACGTGTCGTTAAACTCGGCCTTCCGTTAACGTGGGGTGGTGTGAGACACGTTATGCGCGTGATCTATTCGCTGCTAGATGAAGCCTTCCCCCAAGCTGGCGTCATCCCTCGGGGTCTCACGATCAAAGGACCCGATGAAGTTCCTGCACACGAGCGGCCACCACCATCCCCCTTCTAGCGCTGCGGTCTATTCAAGCTCCGCACACCTTTCTTTCCAGTCAATATGACGACGTCCCTAACCCGAACCTCGAAAGCGCTTCACAGCACCGCTTGGCGCAGAGTGGCGAAGTGGGCGGGGGGGGGGGGGAAGCCCAGAAGCGCTAACAACGGACGTTTGCCACGGCCGGCGATCGAACGCAACGTCGCCACGGCACGGTAAACCCTGCGCCCGCGGCTTCCGACGGACGTCCAGGCGGAAGGGCGGGCCTCACGCGCGGCGTGCGTGGCGGGCGCGCGGCGGCGGCTAGCGGCGGCGCCAACCGCCGTCGAGCTCACCGGATTTCCTGGTTGATGGCGTCCAGCTGCTGCTGCAGGCGGCGCGCCAGCGTGTGCGCGTCCGAGTGGCCGACGGGCGACAGGAGGTCGGCGGCGCTGAACACCGTCTCGCGCTCGTCCTCGTCCGACCCCTCGGGGTCGCTCTCGAAGGCGTGCGCCACGCTCGCCAGCACGCTCGCCTGCTGGGCACGCTGCCACGCCTGCTCGTTCAGGGTGTGCACCTGCAACGCCGGCGCCGCACGGGGGAAAGGGGAGGGGGGTCAGGGTCCACGCGACAGGGCGCCGAGCGCATCGCTCGACGGCGCTACCCCCAATTTCCCCCCTCTTTCCCCCCCCCACCATCTTCCCCCCCCCCACACCCACTCGTTTTCGTTAATTGGTAACCGTCAGGTCCACCAACGTGCGGTCCATTGCCTGCATGTGTTTTGTTTGTGCGTATCCTGATTAGTATATGTGTTGAACTACCTTTCGCACCATACGTAGCCAACAATGCTCATCGAGGTGTGGGGGAAGGACAACAAACTAAACACAGAAAGCGGTTCTAGAGAAATGAGTTTTCAATTCAGTGGCTGCTCCTCACTCGCCGTGGGTCAACGCAATCAGTGCCCATGTGACCACAAACACGTTGGGGCGGGTAAACAGACTGCTTTAAGAATACTCTTAGTTCTTTCGGTAAAGACACATAGGTAAAAAAATGAATGCTGCATCAAGGTGATGCAGCAAATCTGGCTGTGACGGTCCCACCTGATGACGGAGACTTGTGTTGCCTCCGAAACGTCGTGATTTTTATTTTATAAATTTTTATTTCATATTTTTATCTACGTGACTTTACCGAAAGAACTAAGAGTATGAATCCTTGCAGTCACGAAAGCTTCAAATCTAGAATGCTTTAAAAATAGTTAAAACGCTAATTTCCGTAAACAGCAAATATGGTTGTTATAGGTTAATTTGCATGTTTTGTATTTTTTGTGTCTTTGTTTTTATCTGGGCTAGCCCTATTCCCCTTTAATCTGAATAACAGCGAGTTGACTGAAGTAAGGACATCCGATGAACTCTACTGTGGCCCAGATTCCCATCGTGATGACTGTAATTGTGTTTTCTTTAGTCCGTTTGTTAAAATGTGGCAGTGTCTCCAATGCCAGTAATAGAGCCGATCAGCAAAACCGTTCCGTTTCAGCAACATGGGAAGGAGGGCCAGTCTGTGGATTTTGCTGAACGCGTTCAAAATCCTGTGACAATTATACTGCAATTACAAAGCTTGCGAACGAGTGAATTCAACCTCTATTTATAACGCGAAGCCATCGTTATGAACAACTTGTCAAAATCACAGACTAAATGCATAGCTTAAATTAATATTGTATGAATTGGCTCAAACGTTGATGGAAATCGCTCGTACCAAAATCCCCAAAAAAGTGAGCATGGCTATGGGAATATAAACAAATGTTGTCAAATACTTGAACACACAGCCAGAGAATGTATTGCATTGGAAAGTAAACATAAGTAAAGATAAACAAATTAATCAAGTTAAATAAATCACAGCATATTAATATTCCTACATCAAACGGCATTCAAAATAAAAATCCACTGTTGATTTTAATATTCTCGTTGTAACTTACACGGCACGATGTTCCATTCCATGAGAGCATGATGTTAGGTAAAAAAGAAAGAGGTCAGTTTACCACTTACCCATCACTTGAATTACTGACAACATAACAACTGCTCTTCATGTATTGTTCACGTGACAATGCATTAATGGCACGTGACTGTCTCACAGTCATTTGTAGACATTATAAATAATGCAGACACAATACGACGCAACTACAAATAACTACGTTCAACATTGGATGCGATCTCACAAGGTCTGTGACAATGGACCGATGGACGCAAAGTGAAACATCTCGTTCAGTGTAAATAAACAAAGTCCAGAGACGGCGTCTTGGGGAGCTTGTTCAGCGAAGCCTCCGTTCTATAAATTATGCCTTTCAGCTCCACTGCAATCCACCACATTCTGAGGTTTTTCTGCCTGAATTTGCGTTCATTTAACCGTGCCCATTCCAAAATGGCCTCAGTGTCTTTTTGCGAAACAATTTAATAAAAAAAAACTCACGGTGACTCACTCGCGGCGAACAGGATTGTAGGCGGAATGCGATGGCGATTGATGCTCAATGTAAACGAAATGGACTTCGGAGTCTGCATTGTTGTATTCACACTTTATCGCTTGAGTTAGTGAGTGGCATATTAGGGCAAGCATGCTGCACAAGGAGGTGGCTTAGCTGGCACCAAAGTCCTTCCGCCTTGTGTTGGCCCAGTGCGGACGTTTAAACGCAATTCCAAGTACAGATTTTAGCCGCTTGACACCTCGGAGGTGTTCAGCTGGATGTGGTTTTCAGGACCGGTTCAAACATCACTCACCACCGGTGTTATCTGCAGTTGGGAATCAAGACTCGTGACTGAAAGATGCGGGGGGGAGGAGCCCTTACTCCAGCAGCGGAATATAAAAGCGCTGTTCCTCATCCATTCCAATTCGGATTACAAATTGCACGAACCAATGAGGCAACGGCTGAGCCATTTTCAGATGCCAATTGCCACCGTTTTTTTTTTTTAAGCGTGGCAAGGAATTCGAATTGCGAATCGCAGGTATTGCAAACACTGCGAGCTTAATCGCTACGACTCCACACCTCGGGCTGCCCGCACAGGTACAAAAACGTGCGCACGCACATCAACACCGGTGCACTTGCTCCAAATGTTCTCGCAGAGGCGCGCTTAGAATTTTTTTTTTTGGATACGGTAAGAGTACTCCTCCTTCGCTTGCCGTTCACGGTAAAAAAAAAATGCGTCCCCGTAATGGTGCAACCAAATTTAGACCAGCTCGGGTAATCGCACGGCGGCTGGCTGGGAACCTGTTAAGGATGTGGCCGAGAGTAGTTTTGATGCTTGTCGGCGGACAAAATGAGGCTGTTATTCCCGTGGAGGCTAGAAGTGGTGGAGGTGATTAGGCCAAAAATGAGCTTGGCAGCGAGTGTGTGCGGCAATTGGACCACCGGGCAGAAAATGTGCACAGCAATTTCAACGAGTTATCTAGAGTGCTGTGAAGTTATTACGGAGGCCGGGTACATCCGTCACTTTTGTCGAGTTCACTCAGTTGTAAGGTAGAGGCTATTAAAAACATTTTTTTACCTGATAAGTCTTTGCTCTTCAGTACGCAAGCAACAATATAACACGTAAATAACCAAATGGAATATTCAGAGTCATTTACAGGCCTTTGTCACTCCACCATAAGATTAAAGCCTTTTCACACTCTAGATTTCACACTGCGTGAGTCACAGTGGTCGTTTGACCGTACTTTACGACACTGGTCGGGTGGATCTAAGGACGCCCCCGGGATTAGTTCAGATATCGCTCAGCCGTGGCCGGGAATCGGGCTCAGGACTCGGTGATTGTAGCGCATGGTGCGCCAACCACTGGACGAGCGTTACCCCCATTTTCCACACGTGCACACACTACAGCTTGCGCAGACGTGAGCGTGAACAACCCCCACCGTCATCTTAGTTCTTTCGGTAAAGTCACGTAGAATGGAAATAATAAAATAATAAAAATAAAACAGAATAATTATTTAATAATATTTTTATTTTTATTTTTTTATTATAATAAAATAATAAAAACAAAACATAATAATTATTTTATAAAAATTATTTTTACAATGTTTTATTTTTACTATTTTTTTATTTCCATTCTACGTGACTTTACCGAAAGAACTAAGATGAATCCCTGCAGCAGTCACGAAAGCTTCAAATCGAAACCCCCCACCTTGCTCGGGTCTTCACGCAGCGCGACGATCCTGCCGGTCTGCGGCCGCCGGTGGACCAGGCTCGAGTTGGAGTAGTGACCCATGGGCTCCATTGCCGCCGACCGCACGGTGAGGCCCAAGTCGGGGGCACTGCCAAGCCTCGTCCTGCGAACGACAGCAACGATGACGACGAGGCACAGAGAATATCACCCACCTGTCCACCCTGCGTTCAAACGCTGTCGCGTAACGCTGCCCCCTTCACTCGCCAATGTGGGACAGGGCCAGGTGGCTCAGCGGCCGAGCGAGCAGCTCGGAGTGGAAAAGGCCGCGAGTTCCAATCCTAGTTGGAGTGGGGAGGGGGGGGGTTGGCCCGAGTCCCATCATCCCTACAAAGGTCGATAAAATTAAGTACAACACAATGGAGAAGTTAGCGGTGGGTTGTTTACTGGAGAAACCTGCCTCTGGCTCAGGGCTGTAAACCGGAGGATGAGAACCACCCCATTGCTCAAGACATTTGACTTTGAAGAGCCTAGAAGTCATAAAGGCCAGAACATAGAGCCTTGGAAAAATTGCCAAAGCATGCCGTGTTGTATTTTTTAAGGTAGACTGGTCTATAAATCACTTGCATCAAGAAGCGGCAACTAGAAACAACACCTGCTTCTCTACTTCACCCGTAACAAATTTGTTCCCACACTGCGTTGCAGAATGGAGCATCATTTTGGGTTTAAACTTTCCCATCAGAGGGCCAGCGCCAACAACACGGAGGGCGCGCCGCGAGTCACCGAGACAACCGCCGTGTTATTACTCCGGTGCCACGCACCTGCTCAGCATTGGTTCGCAGCCCGGGTTGAGCCTCCATTGGTCCATCTCTGCCCGCAACGTCGCCACCTCCTCCAGCAACCGCTCCTGCGGAGGGAGGCAGCTTCTGTCAAAAAGTGTCTGCAAGCGGCGATCTGAGTCGACCCAGATCAGGTGCGTGTACGTGCGTGTGTGCGCGTGCGTGCCGTGCGTGTCAGCGGTTTACCCGCCGACCCGAGTTCAATTCCCACTGACAGCCAACACCAGTCACGATTATCTGAACAAGTCCTCGGCCTCCCCTAAGTCCACTCAGCCTCAAACATCGCCACTAGGGATACAAAGATGGCCGCGCGTGGTGCTGGCCACCCATCCCTCGTGTGCCGTGCTGGTCTTCAAAGATGCTTGCTAACAGCACTTGCCCCAAGAGTCTGTTAAGGCTATACATCTTTGTCTTGTCTATATTTATGTCAGAGAGCAGTAGAGGGGCAGAGGTTCATTTAATTTAAACTAAACTATTTATTTTTACTTTACCAGGTAAGGCCCACTGAGCTATACAGCTCTTTTTCAGAAGCGACCTGCCCACAAATGATAGCTCAACCAAGTGGCTTATCACGTCGAAATTTATAGCAGCCAAATACTCTAAACACATGTTTCTAAATGAGGAGAGGAAAAACCGGAGGACCTGGAGAAAAATCCATGCAACCACGGGGGAAACATGCAAACTCCAAATATATAGGCGTGAGGGTCGGGATCGAACCCAGGACCTCCTGTACAGCAGGCACGCGTGTGCCAGGCATGCGCGTGCTCAAGTGGGGTCGATACGTTGCCTTGGACATCGGTGAACATTTTAATTTGAACATAACTTGTGTCTGCCTTGGGTTGCCTAGCTGACAAGGACGATCGCAGGCAATGTGTCATCATCAGCACTCGGCAGGTGCGGATCGGCACGAGGCTGCCAGCTTCACACCCCCACGTCTGAATAGATGCAGCTCGTGCACCTTCTAACTAAATGGAAGATCTACGCTTTGCGCGAGTGTTTGTCCGTGGTATGGGCATTGGAGCGGTCTACCCTACCGTGACGTCCGTGCGGTCCCAGTGGCTCCCCCGTTCCATTGGGCCCTTTCCCAGGCCATGTCTGAGATGTGTGGCGGCATTGCGGCATGGCGGAGACACAAAGACCTTTCCTCCAGCCACCGAGGCTAATTGAAGGGTTTGGGGATCGAGCACCCGTGGGCTGTAATTGAACAAGGCTCGTCGGGAAGTAAGTCCCAGGCTGCAACCCTTCTTCACCTTGCGCTCGAGAAAGTGAGCACTCTCCATTATTCCTTGCCACGATCAATAAAACTATTTTCAGGAAAAACCCACCAATGTAGATGGGAGTTATTTATATACGAAGGACGTTTTAACAAACACAAATCGTGACTGTCACTGGTACACTGTGATGTGATGCCGAGAGCACAATTGGGAACGAAATTAGGAAAACAGCCGATTAGAATTCTAGATTTGAAGCTTTCGTGACTGCAAGGATTCATATTCTTAGGTTTTTTCGGTAAAGTCACGTAGATAAAAAATTAAAATTAATAAAAGTAAATTTTTTATCTACGTGACTTTACCGAAAAAACCTAAGAATATGAAGCCGATTAGAATGTGTGTAGATTATTTCCAAAACCCCGACAGTGTGAGGTGATTTTTCTACGTGCACGTTCTAATAGCGCTGGACCCGCGACACGCTCGTTAAATTATTTAGTGATCGAAGAACGGTCAGCCGAGCGGCTAGTACGGGCGTTAGATGCGCCGGGAGTGTTTCCGCGAGATTCGCCGGGGGAACCGGGAGCGCAGTGCCAATGATACCTTGTCATGCTGCGTCTCCTCCAGGTGTTTCCTGATGCTGTCCAGTTCATGGTTCAGAGAATTCTGCAGCACACGTGCGACAAACACCGCCACAGAATAAGCTCTCGCTGCACATTCACCAACGAGACCTCCCGCGCTAATATTTGTACCATGTGTTGTCTGTATGTTGAACTTCTTTCGCACCGCACGTAGCCAACCGTGCTCATTGGAGGTGCGGGAAAAGTACAACAAACTAAACACAAAAAGCAGTGAAAAAAAATGTCGTTTTCAATCTAGATTTAAAGGTGGCTATAGCTCGAGTGGCTTCCTAATATCGGAAGGAAGAGCGTTCCAGATGGCCGCAGCAGTTATTCAATTCAGCAGTTATTTACGAGTGACAAATTAACATATTTAAATGTGAACAGTTTCCAAATACATGTTTAAAAAAAACATTATAGCGTAAGGGGGCAATGACCGAATATACAGGATGAACACGAACCACAGTGTGGAGGTCAGATATCACCGACACGCTGCGCGGGCAACGCGCACAAAGCCGTCAATCACAGCGCTTCACCGCTTGCTGATGCTGCAGCTGCCCATCCAACTATGACGGACTTAAAATGAACGCACTTCACACCGCATTGATTTATTTCCCGCTGCCCTCGTCAATAATGTATTAACGATGGCGGGAGGTGAGCGCGCGTCCGGTGCGATAGCGATTTCTGCTACGGGTGGGCGTGTTGGCAAGATGTTAACTCCCTCGCCTGGTATACAGGAGGTCGTGGGCTCGATCCCGACCCTGACGCCTGCTGTATATTTGGAGTTTGCGTGTTCTCCCTGTGGTCGTCTGGATTTTTCTTTGGGTCCTCCGGTTTTTCACTCCAAATTTAGAAACATGCTTTTAGAGTATTTGCCTGGTATAAAGTTCCACGTGATAAACCACTTTGTTCAGCTATCGTTTGCGATTAGGTCACTTCTGAAAAAGAGCTACGTAGTTCAGTGGGCCTTACCTGGTAAAAGAAAAATAGATATCAGCAGTCGTGATATCTGATCTGGTACCGAGCTTCCTCTAGGTCGACTGAGCCTTAAATGAGCACCGGCCACAGTGCATGCTTGTATGCATACATCGAGTGGGGAGTGGTGGCGCAGTGTCTAAGCGGGATGTGCGATGAACCACGCGACCCAAGTGAAAGCACTTTGCTACGGCTAACCCCATCAGTGGTGATATCGGAATCAGTGGCAGGCCTCCCCGAGGTTGATTGACGAGTGAAATTCTGACCCTGTCTGTCCGACAGACCTGTTCTTCACCTGAGGACGGCTGCTTGCGTTGTGGCCGAAACGTCGTGAGAATTGTATTTTATTATGTTTTATTTTTATTATTTTATTATTTCCCTTCTACGTGACTTTACCGAAAGAACCAAGAAAATTATTTTATAATGTAAAATTTTTTATTATTTAATTATTTCCCTTCTACGTGACTTTACCGAAAGAACCAAGAAGAAGACATATACCCTCCATTCGTCTGTTAAAAGTCTATATTAGGGGACCTTGGCCTTTTTGTGTGTATATGTCTGTGGGAATCTACTTTTGCAGTTAAATTGACCATTAAATGTTGCATATGAAATCGTGTTTCAGTGTCCTTTACTTTAACGATGTAAACTTTCTAAGGTCATGCTCATGAATAGTGTAACAATTACCCCGAAGTGATAGGGTGGGTAGTGGTATCGGGATTGAGATTAATTTGCATGCGTGCTTTTAGACCGAGAAAATTCTAACATAATTCCCTTCAATTTCATCTTAAGGTACAACTTTCAAGGAGATGGGAAGGCCAAATCAGTACATTTTTGTACGCTCATTAAAATAACAACTATTTTCGATGACTCATTACCCATATCAGATATCACACGTTTATTAAAAGTTATTAGGCTCGACACGAAGTGTGAAACCGTGTCAGAATAACCTTTGATCTTAACATATTTTAATATAAAACTGGCAGAGCAGGGCACTAAATGGAACCAGTGGAATTGCTCTTGCTACAATGTCATTTTTTATTAATAATTATATAACGAGCTTGGCCATTCAATGTTCGTTTACCAAAAGCAAACTCATGCGCACTCGCATTTAAATACAATTACACCTACTGGGAAACAAGTAGAGTGTCAGGCAGCTTTGTGTAAGAGCACTTCTCAATGAGGCAGTTTTCATATAATAGCCGGTTTGATTCCCAGCTTGATTTGAAAATTCCTGCCTGGAATTAACAAAAAAAAGCACTTCTTGCTGTGTAAAATGTACCATTACTTGGGGATATTGCTGCACTGGCAGTGGTGCACAAACACGGGTAACAATATAAAATAACTCGACACATTTCTCAATAATGCTGGCAGTATTTTTTTTATTTAAGTATAGGATAGGTGACGTTTTGGGCAATGTCCCTTCTTCGTAGGGACATTGTGTGAGGGCCTAGAAAAAGCATAATTTTATTATTTAAAAATATCATTTCATTATTTAAAAATAATGTTACCTGATATTGTTTCTGTAAAATAGATGGATTTTAAGTGACTCAAAATCCCATGTTTGTGTGTTCATTGACTGATAATAGCACAGTTCTGGGCCATACAATTATGGTTAGGGAGTTTCGTCTTGCAGAAAATACACTATCATAGTCCTCTTACCTGATTACATAAAGGTCAATGGGGATTGCATTAGCATGCGCTGAGAGCATGCAGCGTACGGATTACGCTTTTCAATCAGTCAAGAAAGTTTCCCTCTACTCTAAGGAGCTCTGGGCAGTGTGTATCTCCTTCTCCAGTTCTGAGAAAGTGGCGGAAATTGTCCACATTGTTTGGGTGGGGGGAAAAATACCCATCAGATTATCAGATATTTTTTCAATGCATTTCAACTACTTCTGTTTTTTTATACTTTGATCGTGTACTTAAAAAAAAAACCCACACTAACTTTTGCATTTTTCAAGAAGCAATGGAAACCACCTTACACTTGCCGTGATATGCTGAACACCAAAGTGTTACGCTCAAATGACCATTGTCAAGGTGTGGCACGGTATTCCGCTGAAGGGAAGCGAGGGAATGGCACCACTGACAACAACGCCGTCGTTACTGTTGTTGGCTGCTGCTACACAATTTCCAACTGGCTGCAGGAAGAATTTATAGGGGCTCCCCCCCCCCCCCCCCCCAGCACGCCATGAATGTAAAAAAAAGAGCATTGCATACAAATGAGGTGAAGCCAAATCGTATTTTAGCCTAAACAGCCAGTCAGCCAGCCAGCCGTAAAATTCTTTTACCATCAAAATGTCAGACGCTTTCCATCAAGTGCCGTATTACCAGAAGCACCTGCTCATCTCAAACTTCAAAACTAAAAGTTCGTTCCCACGTCGTACGCCTTCTTCTCATCAAAACTCGCTCAAGCAACTCGCACCGTGGCGGCAGACTGAACGCTTCTCCGAGTCAAAACCATTTACACGAGTTGCAAACATTGACCACGACTCCGTAAACTGGAAACAATCCCTGTAAAAGCCGACAGTGCCTGATTAAGTGTACATCCCCGGTGGCTGGATTGATCAAAAAACAAACACACGAACGCACGCAAACCGTTGAGAAAACGAACCTCTTAAAAATGTCGTTGCACATTTCACATGTTAAACAGTGGGAATATTAAATCCTGTAAACGGGCCCTGGGGTTTATTAAACATCCAGGTGTTCGGCATACGTGGTTACGGGCATCGGCTGCTGCCTTGCTATTCAAGGAACCTTTCCTCCTCAAGCTCGACGATGTGAGATAACCAATGGATGAGCCGCCAAGCTCCAAAAGTAAATCACTCAAATGCACTCTGTCAAACTCGGGGACCTCAAGCGTAGAAATAATTTAATATCTCGGGTCGAGCCACTCTTAAAAGCATGAAGCAGACAAAATGTCCCGACGCATAATCGTGTAAATTTGATGTCTACGGGGCCTTAATACAAAGGCATCTCAAGATGTTGGACAGAACAGCGCCAAATGGGCATGTACGTATGTATCACTTCTTTCCCACTGTACATAGCTATCGGAGATAGGGAAGGACAAAAGTCATAGTGGGGAAAGGAGGCACGTTTTTTCATTTTATATATATAGAGAGAGAGGGCCATCAGCAGAGTGGGTCTTGAAACTGGACTGGGAACAGGGGCAGGGAGCCAATGGTACAGATATCTTGAAGACTGGCGTGCCAGGAGGGCGGCAGAGATAGAGCAACCTTTCATCGAGCGGATATTGACCAAAATAAATGTTTGGTGGCTGGAGTCGAGGACACTCGAAGGGGGAGTAGAGCAAGTCGAAAGGGGAGAGAGAGAGAAGGGATAGGGCGAGAGTTCACGGCGGATCTTGAAGATGGCGAGTGCAAAACTTTTTATTTAATCGAGCTCAAATTAGGAGCTAGCGGAGGGATATTGGGGTGACTTGGTCGCGTTTACGGGTGCAGGTGATACATTCCCAAAGCGGATATTTTGGCTTTAGACATTTTGAGTGCAAGGGTGAAAGGAGTGGGGGCAGCACGGTGGTCGTTATCGTTTTGTTTACACCGCGTGCTGCTGCAGTGGCGAGCGGTGGCGGCATGAGGATTGGCGGCCTCACACTCAGTTATGCCTTCGGTTGGAGGTGGCCGTCTTCCTGGGCCGCTGTTTTACGCTTCCAACATCCCCGGCAGGCAGCGACGCACTGGCGTGCTCAGCTCGGCCTCAGTTAACACATTCCTGCGGAGGGAGCTGGTAGGAACGTTGGGTTGCTCGGTCAATGGCCAGGGTCAACGGCGGCGTGGTGTATTCCGCAAATATGCCCGACTGTGAGGCCGGCGTGAGTAGGTTCAACGTTGAGTTTTGCACCACAGGGTGACCAGCCCCTCCCCACCCCAGCCCCTCCCCACCCAGCCCTCCTTGCACGACGGACACAATAATCTCCTGTGGGCTGGTGTAACCAGGAGGTTCCTACCAGTAACAAGCTAACTGCGTGCGGCCAAACAACAGGGGGGGGGAGAGGGGTGGGGGCTACCTGGGACGAGTTGACGTGACCCAGGTGCGAATCAACAACAAGAACGACACAAATAAAAGTGTTGCCAGATAAGCAGGCAAACCATGGTGGCAGTTTATCCGGATCTGGGAGATGAATGGAAGTAAAACACTTTAAACAGAACCCAATAAGTAATATTAAAAAACACGCTTTAATGAAATGTACCGTACGAATAATGGAAGGACTCCACGACTCCAGGAAGTGGCCCCGAAGTTTGCCATAACGTAAGAGGGCCGTGGTGATTTACAGCCAACGTTAGTTGAGCGTGGACAATTGGACCCAAGCCGAAACATAACATGTAAAAAATGATTTTAAAATATATAAAAAAAAAATTTAAATGATAGAATATAGTATTGTCATCAGTATGACATAAGTATAACAAGTTTGCAGTCGATACCACAATGGGAAGTGGGTAAAAATGGAGTAACAAGATTTGAAGATACAACAACAACAGACAGAGTTAATAAAAAGCGTGTAATAAATAGCCGTGCTAACACCTGGAAATAACTTTTTTTTACTGTTTCACATGTACTGTGTTTTTGATTGTGTACTTAAAAAAACCCGAAATAATTCGAATTCCTTTGTCAATCCACTGCTCTCGATGGAAGCCTGCCAATGTTGTGTCGGTAAACGGGGGTTGTTTGACGATACTTCAGGACGCCGGCCCGTGTGGATTGATGAAACGGCGGGGAGGGGGGGGATCGATTCAGGTATCATTCGCCACTGACGTTTGTGGACATGGTCAGAATAACACGCAGGTCAGCGGGTTAATAACGCGGCGCGCTAACCAGGCGTCAACGCTACGACGCGTCATTAGAAATTGACGCCCGCGTGCTGGCTATGCTGCGCGTGGGTGAACTCGGTTCAGATTGTGCGAGTCAGAGGAAAGGAAATGAGTCTTGTGGGTGCAAACGTGCTTATGATCATGCCTCGCAAAGGTGTCGCACGTCGTATTAACACACGCTTCTTCCACGTTCAAATTAACAAGTCCACAATGAACAAAACTAGTCGATGCCCCAACTGCACGTGTGCACTCCAATCACAAATAAAGACCCAGAAAACTCAAAATTCCTTAACTTGGGCGGTCTTCATTCCACACACAAAACGCCATCATCAAATTAGCGTGGACAATGTAAAGTCAAAGAAAATGTGGGAATGTTTTAAGTGGTTAACCTCACATTGAGTATGTTAAAGTGTACGTGTAGCATATGGTGTGGGGGATTTAATTGGCATAGGTGGAATTTGTTTTGTTTTCACGGCTCAGAGAAAAAAAGCAGTGCATTGCAATGAACAAGTGCCTGAGGCAATGAGCAGCATTTAAAAACAGATAAAATAATGGGTGTGAAAATGTTCAGGTGTCCCACGCGTTCATTGTTGAGTGTGTAGAGTGTTGCACGAGTGTAGCAGCAACATGACAAATGTATGAAACATCGTACACACATATACGTTTAAATCCAAAACAGAATTTTGTTGTCTAACATTGTAATTGTCATTGATTTAAGTCTCTGTCCTGTCAATATGTTGTATTGTTTGACACAGTGCTTTTGATTTGTATATTGGTATCCCTTGCAGGAGACACTTTAGGTCTCAAAAGGCACTTACGTATTTTTATATAAACGCATTTATTTATTAAGTGATTGATTGCAGCGAGGCAAGATATTGGTACCGAGAGGAGGGACGTATTTAGTGAAAATGTTGGTGTTCATTTTGGACTCTTGGCAGCAAAGCAACAGCGCTCCGGTGTGAACAGCGACACAAACACACATTCATATTTCGCGGGGCGCTGTCGAGTGTTTTTTTGCTGTATTTCGCTTCGACCTTCAGTACATTTTGACCTCCTTCGGTGCCCAATCTGTCACCAAAACAACAGAATGAACTACTCTGCCTCACTATAGATTCTCACAGCGAATTTCATGCTCAGTCCGCACAGGCGACGCTGATCTCTCTACGGCCACTACCGATGCAGCGGTGGCCATTCCACGTTCCCTGTGGATGGAGGGGTGGTTTCTCAACGGGCGCTGCGCAGCCGTTGTGGACGTTACCTTCTCCTCGAGGGCAGACATCCGCTCTTTGAGGTGCAGCTGCAGCCGCTCGTTGGACTCGGACAGCAGCTTGTCCACGGTGTCCGACAGCCGCTTGTTGTGCTCTTCGTTCATTTTCTCGCGCTGACGAGCCTGCGTGTTTGCACGCGCATTTACACACGTGTCAACACGCACGCACGCGCGCCAAGTACCAGAGACAGGCAGGCGAAAACACACGGATGGACGAACGCACGGTCGCAAGCGTGCAGCACAAGACAACAGGGAAATGTATTTTAATGAACATGTCTTTTGAATGCCTTCCAAGAAAACCAATAGTTCCCCGCATTATTATCAATCATCAAGCACAAGTACACTCGTGCGTTCGGCCTGGAAGCCAAGCTGGAGAGTCGAATGCAAACAAACTCAATGAAATAGATAATGAATGTCAATAAGAGAGAGATACTTTATTACGCCGGAGAGCAGGCTAACATTAAAGTGGACGGATGGATTTACGTCAAACTCGGATTAAATGTTTTTTTCCCCCCCATGCTGTCTACCAATTGCGATGATGCTGGGAGTGATTTTTAATCACTTGTGGCAATGCAATCTATTGGAATTGACTGGAGTGGAAAATCTAGTGGCTATTAAGAGGAACACATAGATTGTATAGTGTTGGTGCGAGTGCAAATCAGGTCTATATAGTGCAGTTGCTAAAAGCCTTTAGCTCCGAGTGGAAGTTTCTGGTCTGTTTTAACATCCGAGCACTGCGATTTAATGCTCCCTTCTGATGCAAAAAAGGGAAAATGAAATTGCAATGAGCTTCCAAAAGCACTTTTTGACAAGTACATTTTTAAGAAAATATGATAAACAAATGCAACATCAAATCGAATTAAATGTTACAGATGTACAGAGAGTCAACGTTAAATGTAAAAACACTCTATGTTGCTTCATCAAGCGCTATGTCTCCAGTACAATGGGTTTAAACAAAGCTGAATTATATTTTGACAGTAATGAATTTTGCATTCACTTATTGTACTTTGAAAATGTGTTTTTTTATATTTGGGGAACCTATTTTGATTTGTGGATTTGCTTATCAGTGACATCAAGTGACTCTTCAGACATTTCTGACCGCGAATAAACTAAGATCTAAAATTTCCATTTGTAATTTTCCCTCTCATCTTCAGTGAGCGGAGCAGTTTTTAACAAGCAACACATCTTAAATTTTATTTTCGTTCAACTAAAAATATCTATGAGTGACCTGACACATGACCTAGCCTTTAGCATAAAAACTTAAACATTTTCACACGAGATTTTAATGAGAATTCTCTTTTCTTTTTTAAACAGAGTGGCCATGTCTCATATCAGACAAAATAATATTGAAAAGTATAAAATGTTTATAGTGCAGTCGAAAATGACTTGGGATTCCTCATTTCGTTCCACAAGGTAAGTGAGAGTTATTCCAATTACAAAGGTGGACAATTATTAAACATTCTCAAATGTAACGGTTGACTTTTTGAAAATGTTCTCCCGTTAGGGTTATGACGGCGGTACAAGATAACTACTTCACCCAGTATACAGGAGGTTGTGGGCTTGATCCCGACCCTGACTCCTGTATATATGGAGATTGCATGTTCTCCCCGTGGTCGTTTGGATTTTTCTCTGGGTCCTCCGGTTTTCCCCGTCACATTTCGAAACATAAGTTGAGAGTATTTAGCTGCGATAAATTTACACATACACCAATTCGTTGAGCAATCATTTGTGGCCAGGTAGCTTTTGAAAAAGAGCTAGATAGCTCACAGTGGGCCTTACCTGGTAAAATAAAATGATTAGTTTAGTTCATATACAAATCGAAAAATACTCCTACACGTGAGATTCCACGCATATATATCATCAGGTTAAGGGTCGATTTGTGGCTATTCTTCCAAGGTAATTTGCAAAGGAGAGCTCTCTAGAGCTCCCTCTAGTGAAGTCCCATCTGCCAACAGGAGCGTGAATCAGTAATTGCAGCAATGTGCCTTTACTTTTTCAGAATCAATATTCATCAACCAACGGATGATGCATTGTTATTTTGTGGGAATGATGTCAGAGCTTGCCGCACGCCTGCACTGCACATTGACCCATTCCCACACGAACATTAACCAAGCGGCGAGTGGAATCAAACCGTTGACCAATTTCAGAATCAGAATAATTATTTAGACTGGAGGAATCCGATGGGCTACAAAAGCTCTTTTTTTTACGGATGTCCAGGAGGGGGCGGCTAAGAACGTTACAACAACAAAACAATGCAAACCACGACAGTCGCGCAAAGTACAGGAAAGGTAAACGAATCGCCGAAAGAAAACATACAAAATAAAACTAAACCATCCGCATCCTACGAGGCAAAGCCCACCGAGCTATTAACTTGGCCCGGTGGTAAAATGCATCGAAGCACAAGGCTAACCCCGGGCCCACCCGAAAAGCTTCGTGCACAGAGCGAACAAACAAGGCACTGGAAGAATGTTGCTGCTGTTGTTGTTGTTATGCATGGCCTGTCATGACGAGACCACAAAGGGCTCCATGGCAGATTTCACGAATCACAATAGATGCACGCCGTTTCCTCCCTTGATGTGCATCCCTATAAGCCCTCTATCCAATTTCAGCAGGCAATCAATATCGCGCAGCACTGCCCGGCTTCGGGGGGCCATGATCCAAACGGGCAGACTGTGCCAGCCCTGTGACAAACACACGCGTGTATGTGAGCGTGCGTGTGTGGTTGTTGCTGTGGTTTTTACGAATGAACGTTAAATAAATGCACGAATTGTGAAGCCCACCGCTGGCATGACCACTCAATTAGGGCAGGGCAAGACACCCCACTTCCATTGCGAGGCTACTGAACAATCACACGCCACAAGCCCAGAATTGAGACGTGCATTTTTTTGGGATGAATAAATATCTGCAGGCAGCAGCGCTTTGTTGTTATTATCTAAGAGTGCTTACCATCTGCAGCTCTTGGTTCTTCTCCTCCAGCTGAGCCTCCAGTTGTCTCAGCCTCTCCTCCACATTGCCGTGCCTCTCTTCTGCCTGATGAAAAAAGCCAAGGAGGTCATGTGTCACCGCTGCGCGTCCCATTTTCGCGCTGCGGAAATAATTGCCAACTTTTATCTGCGCGTGATAGAGAGGGGCTTGTCTATGACGGGCCGGCCTGCAAACAACGAGATGATGGGCCCACACCACGGTGGAAGACAGGAAATATTAAAATAATCCTATACATTAGATTCCAAGGTCACGGAGATGCAGGCACAAAGAGCAGTGGTTTAGGATTCTAGCCCACTAAGTAAATCACACTGGTTGTTATCACAGTCTGCATCACTGCTTGTCGTTTTATTATTATTGTTTGTGGACAATACATATTCCCACATCGCATTGCGGTCGCCTGCGATTGTCTGAAATTAATCTCAAGCTCAGGATTAATGTTGCAGGTGAATGGTTGTCAGAATGTATGCCATCTGCCTTAGCTTGTGAGCTATGAGAATCCAAATGCATTTTTTATATGCCTGCTTTGTGACCCAGTTAAACATCTGCAATAAATAGGTGGCACTCACCAAAGCAAAATCATGCCCCTTTGTAAAAAGCCTATTAATTAGCTTGATGGCTGAAAACCAGGCGATTCAATATTACGGCAGAAAAATTCCGAGCATAACGTACAAAGACAACCATCCATTGAGGCTGCAAGAAAAAACACGTGTATTAATGCTACGGCTTACACCTATATATTTATCTTGGGAAATATACTGTCAATTAATGCACGAATAAATAACAGATACATGTCTATGCCTCATTAAAACAATACACTTCCATATTCTTTGGGTCTTTTGGTAAAGTCACGTAGATAGGTTTAAAGAAAACATTGCAAAAAACTACGACGTTTCGATCGCAACACAAGCGGTCGTCATCAGGAAAAGGGGGTTAACCTCTAAAGGCAAACTGTTTATAAAGGTTTAAAAACCGGCGTAGCCCAAGAGTCAGCAGCATGGGTAGTGTAGCTAATGTTAATGTAAGGGAAGTTGCTGTTAATGTAAGGGAAGTTGGTGATGGTAGTTGTTGGTAGTGATGGTAGTTGTTGGTAGTGATGGTAGTTGTTGGTAGTGATGGTAGTTGTTGGTAGTGATGGTAGTTGTTGGTAGTGATGGTAGTTGTTGGTAGTGATGGTAGTTGTTGGTAGTGATGGTAGTTGTTGGTAGTGGGCTTCCACCAATGAAGGGAGTTGGGCAATAATGGTCCTGGTGGTTGGCTTCCACCAATTAGAGGGCTGCTGGAGGTGATGGTAGTAGTGGGTAGTGATGGTGTTGGTGGTGAGCTTCCACCAATTAAGGCTGCCAGGTCTAAAATGGACACATTACAGCCAGTTATGACTTAAACTGGTTGATAACATCCTTCCAGTGATTACTGAGTTTGTACCCATCTTCTATGTCTGTATATATGGATGGCTTCATTACTGCCCACTCCCGTTATTGGTGGAAGACCACTACCAACAACTACCATCACTACCAACAACAACCATCACTACCAACAACTACCATCACTACCAACAACAACCATCACTACCAACAACTACCATCACTACCAACAACAACCATCACTACCAACAACTACCATCACTACCAACAACAACCATCACTACCAACAACTACCATCACTACCAACAACTACCATCACTACCAACAACAACCATCACTACCAACAACAACCATCACTACCAACAACTACCATCACTACCAACAACTACCATCACCCCTAGCAGCAACTTCCCTTACATTAACATTAGCTACCCTGCCCATGCTGCTGACACTTGGACTACGCCCATTTTCAAACCTTTATAAACGGTTTGCCTTTAGAAGCTAACCCCTTTTTCCTGATGACGACCGCTTGTGTTGCGATCGAAACGTCGTAGTTTTTTTGTTATTTTCTTTGAACCTATCTAAGTGACTTTACCGAAAGACCCAAAGAATATGAATTCCTGCAGTCACGAAAGCTTTAAGTCAATACACTTCCAGCCACCTTCAAAAGGAATGCTGTTGGAATTGTCGAGTCAGGGGCATAAATGAAGCTGTCTAGATACGAAATTAATTTAAAAAACAATATTTTTTAATGAAGCCTAGATTGTTAGGAAGTAAGTTAACGGACGGCTAAACGATAGCAGACGGTGGTTTGTATTATTCATGACGTTAGTGGGGGGGGGGGGGCATGTAATGATTAAATCCCCTTGTGATCAAATGAATTGTCGCGATTCAAGATTTGGTTTCTCACGCTGCGTTGAGTATAGCTGCCACTCAGGGAAGACATTGCCTGCTGCTCGCGTTACCGCCGCCTGATTGTTGTTGTTATTACTACGCCGCTAGTCTACCCGGGAAAGCCTCACCGAGTCTCAAGACTCTTGCTCCGGAGGGTCCTGCCAAGTTTTTTTTTCCATAGCGGGCGATATTGTTCTTTGTCATCCCAAATTAGTAATTTGCAGGTATTTTATTTCTCATCATTGGGTTGTTTGACTATACCGTTTACTCAAAGAACAAATATAACACTTAGAAATGTACGATAAAAGAAAAACAAGGGCACAAACGCATGTCATGCGTAGAGAGGAGGGTGCACTGATGACGACATGCATCAATATTGCCAGGGTAAGTCTCTCCCTGCTCAAATGAACAATTGGCGCAGTTCTGAGCTCCACTAGTGGCTCAAAGCCAGTGGTAGACACCAGAAATTACCAAGACAGGGACCATTCTCTCAGTGGCCACTTATTTACCCAAATGCTAAAGTAAAAAAAAAATTCTCACATTTTTAGGACCACAAGGAGAGAGGTGCTTATCAAGTAGGACAGATGGCACTTACAATAAAGCACCGTGGTTCGGCACAGAGACCGCTCTATGGATCGGAATCAGAATTGTAGTCATCTCAAGCCTAAAGGGTTCGCCTTTGTGTGCAGTGGTTGTACATTCATCATTTATTCACAAGGATGTGGAGTCGGCCCAGGGGCAACATCCGACCTAATTTAACCAGAAGCACAATGTGCCAGGGACACCGTGGCACAATTGCGAGCGGTCTGAAAATGCGTGCCGACGTGAAAGGAGATCCCCCCCAGGGCGCGGACTTTCAAGCGCGAGCCGCAATCGCACGCAGCTCCACTGCTTGTGGCCGACTGTACAGAATTGTGCCTAATTACCGCAACCATTTATTGCAGAGCGAGTCAGAGATGGCTGGCCCTGTGGCTGATCTGCGAGGGATTCCTCCCCCTCTCCTGGGCGAGAACTGCAGCAAAAGGGGCAATGCTGAAGGCATACGGAAGGTGGTGACGAGCACAATAAGTGGATTGCACACAGCGCTCATTCATTAAGTGGAGGGTTAAGTGAATGGTAAACGCGTGACCTCGTATTGCCACCTCTACCCTGCCTCGGCTAAATCCCTCACCGCAGGGCATGAGAAACACAGATTATCCTGTTCACCACTCGTGCATCAAGGTCGGTCAAAGGAAGAGTTTTAAAAATAATTGAACGGCTATGTTTGTCTGGGTGGAGCCGTGGTTGTGATTTCAAATGCTGGCATGGGTGGGAGGGCGGGCTGGGGGCCCGACTGAGTCAGGCCATTTCTCCGGGGTAGACAAACATCAACAACGCTCTGTGCAAAGTCAACAGTGAATGTGGAATTTCCAGCCACTAGCTCCTCAGCAATGCAGACGGATCACCAACATCCAATCGAGCTGCAAGGTCACTCTGACTTTGACGGGAACGACACGATACGGTTCATACCGCGACTTCTCTCCACTACGTTGCAACGAGTGGCGGGGGATGCAATGCAAAAATCACGTTGGTGTAATGGACGGTACCCACTTAAGGGACCACCGCGGCGTCTGCCACGGCTCGCACCGCCGGCACCGTGAGAAGCGTGACATCGGTCAACGTCGGATGCCAGCGACCGAAGTGGAAGCGCTCTAGGTTATCCTCGCAGGCCCCGTCATATTTTATTCGGGCTGGCGGAGGGGGAGAAGTGGCCGCCGGCTGTTTGCGGCTCTGGAAGGAGCCAACGATGCCCTCCGCAGACCGGACCGCTCGGGGTGCCGCAAAATATTTTTTACGTCTTAAGAGTCTGCAACGGGTGGAGAGAGAGAACGGGGGATGGCTGGGAGCAGTTTTTACAAGCGGGCTTGAGCGTGGATGCCAAGCAGATGTTGGACGTCACCCCGAGGTCACCTGAGGCTACAATGCTTCTTTATGAATTATTTTCATGAAAATGGAACAAATGCCGCACGGCAGTGAATTTTGGTGGCGACAACGGCGGTAGTGGTGGTGGTGACGGCACCGGTGGTGGTGGTGGTGACGGTGGTGAAGGTGGTGGTGGTGGTGACAACGGCAGCGCCTGTAGTGGTGATAGTGATGGCGGTGGTGGTGGTGGTGGCAGTGGTGGTGGTGACACCGGAAGCGCCGGTGGTGGTGACGGTGACGACGGTGGTTGTAGTGGTGACTGTGGTGGTGGTGATGGTGGTGATGGCGGTGGTGACAGTAGTGGTGACACCGGAAGCGCCGGTAGTGGTGATAGTGATGGCGGTGGTGATGGTGACGGTGGTGGTGGTGACAACAGCAGCGCCGGTAGTGGTGATAGTGATGGCGGTGGTGGTGGTGGTGACGGTAGTGACACCGGAAGCACCGGTGGTGGTGACGGTGACGGCGGTGGTGGTGGTGGTGACCGACGGTGGTGGTAGTGGTGACTGTGGTGGTGGTGATGGTGGTGATAGCGGCGGCGGCGGTGGTGACAGTAGTGAGAGTGGTGAGACCGCGGCTCACCTTGGTGAGCGCGACGACGCGCTGCGCAAGCTCCGCCTCGATCTCCGGCAGCGTCTGCGCCTTCTTGAGCGTCTGCTGCAGCTTCTGCTCACCCAGCTCCAGCCGCTCCTGCATCTGCCGTGCGCGGTCCTCGCTCTGGAAGGCAGCGGCAGCAGCAGCAACAACAACACGCCGTCGGTGCAGTGTCAACGTGAATGTTCATTACAACTCAAAAGGGGCTACGATGCGCATTTTGATTTGAAATTCCACGCGGGAAAACAATGACGCGGGTCGAAAAGAAAGAGCCGAGTATGAAGGATTCCACATTGGCCAAGAAGTAACGTTGCAGATGCTATGGCACGTTGTTGGCGAGCTATCTTACTTTCGCATTAAAAGAATGCAGCGCAAGCCAGGCCCGCTGGGTAAGGACCAGGCTGGGTTTGCCGGCGTTAAGTGTGCAGGCTAGCGATGGAACGATCAGAAGTTTGGTCAAATTATGTTTGTTTAAATCCTCATAGCCCCACTCGATGGCTTTGTTAATAAAAAAAATTCTTCAATAGACAAAGCATAGAGAAGTATACCCTACTCTTTGGTTTTTTCGGTAAAGTCATGTTGGTTAAAAAAGAAAACTAATCAATTAAATCACGATGTTTCGGCCACAACACAAGCAGCCGTCCTCAGGTGAAGAATATGTAAACTCCTTTGTCAAGGCGCTCTGCTCCTCCCACCCAGCTTAAATACGCTGCCAAGCTTAGCAGTGTTCATTGGAGCGCTGTCTTTCCGACAGCTCTGTTCTTCACCTGAGGACGGCTGCTTGTGTTGTGGCCGAAACGTCGTGATTTAATTTATTTGTTTTCTTTTTTAACCTACGTCACTTCACCGAAAAAACCCAAGAGTATGGATCCTTGCAGTCACAAAAACTTAAAATCTAAAGTATACCCTTTACAACACTGACTGACGTAGAAACAACACAGTTCCCATAAAAGCAACACATCGTGACATTGCGCTGGTATCTGTGGGCTGGGGGGGTGCAAAGGGCAACTTCTGGCCGAGAGCAGATATAAGCAGAGCCCGCCTTAACCACACCACTCGGTGTGCGTATCTCCAAGTTCTACTGCGCTGAGAGGTTGCATCGTTCTGAGTAACCACATCACAAACTGTGGAATCCTCTTCCTCGGCCCATTAGGGATTCTAAATCCGTGTCACTTTTTAAATAACGTCTTAAAATTTCGATTTAAAGCTTTCGTGACTGCAGGGATTCATCTTCTTGGTTCTTTCGGTAAAGTCACGTAGAAGGGAAATAATAAAACAATAAAAATAAAACATAATAAAATAATTCACACAATAAAATAATACAAATAAAACATAATAAAATAATTCTCACTATAAAAAAATAAAAATAAAACATAATAAAATAATTCTCACGTCTTAAAACTCACACATTTGTACAGCAGGTTTTCCCTGTAACTTAAGATTGAAAAACACATTCTGTTGTCCGATTGGATTACTCAGCATTCATTATTATCAATCGCTTTCATCATAGTTCTTCATTTTATTGGAATTTCGAGAGTCATCATTGTTATCATCAGCTTTCTATTTCGCTTAAATGTTATCTATTTTCGTGAGTGGAATGTACAGCGCTTTGAGATACTTCAATAAAATGGAGGTTATTATTTTATTATTATTATTATAAAGGTGCCGATCGCAGAGCCACAATGGTGACGTAACAAAAGGAAAAGACCCTCTGCAGAAAATGCCTGGGGAACGGCCCTGTAAGATAATGCGACAGAACTAGTTCTAGAGTTGAGTTCATCAGCCAATGCTGACGTATGTTAATTAGCCAATGTTTATGCGTGAGTTACAATTCAGAGCCCGGCGAATGTTGATCAAAGCAAAACAACTCTGTTTACATTGATTTTAAGTTAGGCATGGGAAAATTACCAATTAACCAACACGTCTTTTTGTTCACGATTCCATTGATCGTGTTCGCAAACTATTTTCCCCTGTCTGCCAATTCGTCTGCGCGAACGCAAACGGCAGAAATAGAAAGCACGTATAGAGTGAAAGCCTTTGAACGAACGGGATGCACAGATACCTAAAAGGTCACTGCTTTTCTCAAAGTACATTATTAAAATTAATAACGGAATGCCTGGGTGCCAATAATAGCGATCACGAATAGCGAAGTATTATTAGCCCAACGCCACACACAACATTTCTAGCACCTTCTTTCCCCAAAGTGCTACAACATTGCCATTAAAACGACTGTAAAAGTGACCTCTGCGCTTAGAATGTGCTTCCTCTCTCCTTGCATTTATACCAGACTGGGGCAGTTTTTTCCCCTACGATATGGGGTCATATCCATCCCTGCACTGTGTAGGATCCAAGCACGTGCAGCGAATGATACGCGTGCAGTGCTTACAATCGCAGTGGGTCCACAGACCCCTACTTTTGCCCAGATAACAGCAGCTTTATTGACTTGGCCTAAGTGGAATTTGTATTATTGTTCGTTCAACGATAACAACAAAATACGATCCTACGTGCTGTTGGCGAGCACCTATAAAAGCCGGCATAGCACACAAAGGGGTGGGTGGCCAGCACCACACCCAGCCGCCTTTGTCTCCCCAGTGCTGATGTTTACACACCGCAAGTCGTACTCATTTGAGGCTGAGTCGACCTAGAGGAGGCCCAGGACTGGTTCAAATAATCGTCACTCGTGCTGGGCCTGAGTGGGAATTGAATTTGGGTCACCGGGTTTGGAGCACAGTGCACTAACCAATACACTACCATACACACAAACCTGCTAATATCAGACGCATTTCAGGTGATTTGGTCATAGATATACACATCTCACTGCTCTGGCAGAATTCTTTATGCAGTCAAATCTCACAACAAAATACAGGCTCCCCTAATACATTGACTTTCCAGCCAAGTTTCTACTTGTTCACCACGGTAATGATCGAGGCACGTGACAGTTGAGTACACCGATGCTTCAAGTACAAAGTGATCAGTTGCAATCGCCACTCCCCCACACGCCCGACAGTAAATATGAAGCCGTGTTCCATCCTACATCTCCAACCGCACACTAAACTCTCAACAGTGACAGCTCTAAGCCAGAGGGATAGGCTGCCAGGTGAGCGCAATGAGAAGGCACAGCCCTCCCCCAAGGGGCTCACATTTCTCACCGGCGACCAGGGGGCTACACACAGGACCACACGTCAAGCTGCCGACGACAATTTTCTTGGTCGGTCATCAGTGAGTGGACCGAGAACATCAGAAACTTGCCGGACACATGCGACCCTCTAGGGTAGCGGGAGTGCGCGGGATGCCCTTTCTGGGGGTGCGAGACGTGGGACGTATTTATTTTGAAGATAAATCATCGAAGCACAAATTAAGCACGGGCACGTAAATACAACTACTTTGTTTCACCAAAGCCTCTATGTATTTATTAACATTGTACATTTTTTTTTTACGATTGAGAACCAAAGGGGTGCAAGGCTGCAGTAAAGGTTAAGAACCACTGCTCTAGAGCGAAGAAAGCATTTTTTTTACATGTTCTAGCAGAATGACCTTACGGGCTGAGTAGACCCATAACACTGAGTTTCAATGGCGCAACAATAACAAATACAACAAATGTGCTAAATGTCCATAAATATTGGCACGTAATTATCTGCAAATATTAATATTGGCAAAAAAAAACCCTATCTCTTTTGAGAACTCATCGTCATCATTACTGTTCACCCGGCACTGGTTGTCCAGTGCTATAAGAAAGTCTAAGCATGTCATCGTCTTCCCCCGCAGTTCTGGGATGCCACTATCCATCTCACGCCTGCACATTGACCGATCTCATCGTTCCGTCGCTGAAGGTGGTCGGTCCTCTTGGGCATGTTCTCTTTGTCTTCCTGCCATTCGTTGAGCAGCCTCGTCCATCAGCTACCACCCACTGCAGCGATCTGCCAAAGCCACTCACGGTGGCTATGAGATGTTAACCACCTCGCCCTGCATTGCAGGAGGTCGTCGGTTCGATCCCGACCCTGACGCCTCTATATTTAAAGCTTGCATGCTCTCCCCGTGATCACGTGGATATTCCTCTGGGTCCTCCAGTTTTTCCCTTCACATTTGGAATCAACATACTTAATTTGGAGCTTTCGTGACTGCAGGAATTACTCTTTTGTTCTTTCGGTAAAGTCACGTATAATGAGAAAATAGTATTTAATTTATTATTTTCTCTTTATACGTAACTTTACCGAAAGAACTAAAGAGTAGAATCAACATGTCGTTTTGAGTATTTGGCCCTGTATACATTTCCACGTAATAAGCCACTCCGTCGAGCTATCATTGCTGGCCAAGTCGCTTCTATAGCTCAGTGGGCCTTACGTGGTGAAATTTTAAAAAGTTAAAGGTTTTTACAGTTTCTTAGCGGTGAATTTGATGTGGCCGATGTGTATTTCTTCTCAAACAGCGTAAATTTCAGGGTGCTCATTGCTCGATGCTCTTGTGGACATAATGCTCAGTGTCCCCATGGGTATTAGGTGGTATTCTACTATTCTCCTCTGCTAGAGGTCTTGATGCAAATTGTAATTTTCACATTTCTATGGTTGGGGCCAGTCGGTCCGCATAAAAACCACTGCTGACTTTAATAAGAACTCATTTTATCTACAACCAGACGGCTGATGGGACTGAGATAAATTACAGCTGGTCAAAAATACAATCCAGTATCCTGCCACTGTGGAATTTTCTACAGTTTTACACGGTCCCTCTTTAACAGAAATTACGACGATTTGTCCAACAAGCTCGATGCACAAAACGTAAATTTAAACAAAGGAGATTACACCGACACCAAAGACAACGCCACTCAAAAAATCGAATTCCTCTGACAGTTTGCGACGACCCGCTGCACAGCTAAATACAGCATAACTCCTAAAACACCTCACAAACAGCTCAAATTTAACTAAACTCCGGAACACATCGGACACCCAATAAACGGAGGCTCAAGTTAATTACGCGCATTCTTCCCCATACCCCAGATTCACTGCTCGCCTGAACGGTCAGCCATTAAAAAATTTCCGCTCTTAATTGCCGAGGTGGCTGCATACGTTCTTGTTAGGAGCGGGCCTTCAAATCAGCGACGCTGCAGATCCACCTGGGCCTGCTGAATTATGAATGAGGCACTGCTCCACTTCGCCTAACCCGACCGATTTCTCCCCCGATGATGATGCGCCGTGGAGACAGGCCGACGGCAAAAATCTCGCAGCTCTGCTGTTGTCTGCGCAGCTTGTAAAACTTCGACCCGTCCAATGAGCGAGTTTCATGTAAACAGCGCGCGCTCTGCAATCCAGCTGCATGCCAAGCTACGGGACTGAAAAAATACAAGCTTGTTATTGATCCTTCCCCTATCCCACAAAAGCTCGTCCGTTTAAAGATGTAGCAGAACTTGTCGTCGAGTTTAAGCGGCATCATTTCATTCAAATGCGTTTTTGTTTATAAACCTCATCAACGCCAGTGGAAGATGGCAGCTTCCACGTGGCCCACTCTGTTAAGCGAGAAATCCCGTCGAATGCGATCAACGCGGCAACCGAACGTCGATCATCGACCTCCCGGTCGTTACAGAAACAACACAAGCCACGCAGCAGAATGTGACATTGTAGTTGTCGCTCTGCATCTACATCAGCCATACGACAGAAGAAGAAGAACGATGGCAGCTCGTTCGGTGGCTAGGTGGACTATTCCGTTGCTAAAAAAATCACGGGCGATGGCTCAAGAAGGCCTTCAAGCAGCAGTAGCTTGATCACGGCCGATGATAACGATCGTGAATCCTCATCGGAACACACTCCGAGGATAATCCATGACGATTCGCGCAAATAAAAGGGGGTCAAGCTGTTCGCGCCCAGCGGTCACCGTGTGGCCGGGGTGAGCGAGCGGGTGAGTGGGCGAGTGAGCGAGCGGGTGAGTGGGCGAGCGAGCGAGCGGGTGAGTGGGCGAGCGAGCAGGCACACCTGTCTGATCACGGCTTCCTTGTTGGCGAGCTCGTTCTCCAGCTTGTCGTTCAGGTCGTGGAGTGACGTGGCCTCTCGCTGGGCACCCAGGTATCGCTTCTCGAGGGTGGTGATCCGTTCCTCCATGTCCTCCTTCTGGGCCATAGCCTACATCAACCAGCGAGCACACGCGCACACCGCTCATTGCGTGTTCGGTCAAAGAGTTGAAGTATTCGAACAAATATGCTCAACGTCACCAGGGAAGAAAAAAAAAGCCGTTTCGTTTCAACGCGGCGCTTCACCTCTCGGATGTCTCGCTGATATCTGGCGTTCCCTTCCTCCGACTTGATGAGGTCCTTGCGTGCCGTGTCCAGGTCTCCCTCGAGCTCGGACACGCGAGACGACAGCGCCACGAGACGGTCCTTCATTTGGCCCAGCTCCAGGTTCTGCCTCTCCAGAGTCTGCTGCAGGTCCAGCACGCGGCTCACCAGGTCCTCCGTCTCCACCGAGCCATTGGACAGTCGCTGGCAGACGCCCCAACGATGAAGGAAATAACAACAGGGAAGGAAAAAAAAACCCGTCAACAACATCTATCATCGTCAGCGGGCCTCCTCGAACACCCGTCTCATTCGATCAGTAGGCCGATCTGTCACCATGAAATCATGCTGGGAGGCCATTGCAATAATGCGCTAAGTTCAAGTAGAAGTGTTTAGGGTTCACCTGCTGGATTTGTGGAAGGTTGTCAGAGTAGTCACAGTGATGGTGGCCGGCTGGTTCACAGGTCTATTGCCTTGTAAGTGACGGCACAGCTGAGATGCTGGTTGCACATAAAGCATAAAACTAACCCTTGTTTTATGGATCACATTTTAATTAAAGCTATAAAAACAGGCCGATTAAAAAAATGGGGTTGGTTTGTTTATTAAAGGTGTGGGTCAATTTCTAGCCGTTATGGATGGAATAAAAAATTATACCAGGGCTGCCCAGAAATCTCTAGTCCTTTTGAATTGCTTCCGCAACAAACCTGAGCTGATATAGTGAGTAAAATGCTACATAATATATGCAAATTGTCGAATATATGAAACATTGTGAATAAATTCAGGAGTGAGATGAACCAGACACCGTGTTATCAAGCGTTGCTTGCACAACGCGTGGTGAAACAATTAAAATGTTTCCCCTGCTGTTAACGATAAAGAATTGGCTCAGTTGATTTGAAGCTTCAGTCATTCCGTGACTGCAGGAATCCATATTCTTTGGATCTTTCTGGAAAGTCACGTGGATAGGTTCAAAGAAAAATAAAAATAACAAAAAACTACGACGTTTCGATCACAACACAAGCGATCGTCATCAGGAGGAAAAAAGAGGGGGAAAGCTGCTGAGGCAGACTGTTTTAAAGGTTTAAAATAGGTGTAGCCCCAAATAATATTTAGTTTACTACAACCTACCCGATGGGTGCGACAGTAACTCACACGTGATGTAGGAGTAACACTCATGGGACCTCCCTTGCCAGTATCAAAATAAAATAATAGGTTTTACCCTTTCTTTATGCTGTTTGCCTTTTTGGCGTCCTCTGGTATAACAGTGTTTGAGACGAGGCTCTAAAGAAAACCGTCACTGGTGTGGACCAATCAGTTTCATGCATGCTCGGTCAGACTGCGTGTCGATTGTTCGGCATGCTCGTGGCCTCCCGCAGTGGACAGCAAGGGACGCGAGGTGTGTGTGGACGACTGTGTGTCCACGTGTATTAGCCTGCCAAAGGGTTCAACGAAAGTCCCCTTCACCTTTCCGGGCCCTCTCTGCTCGCCCTCCGGCTGCTTCTGCTGCTCCGTGTCCTCGGCTCCATCCCCCGAGCCCATCCGCGGCTGAGACAACGCCGCCTGCTCCCTCAGCACGGACAGCTGCCAGCAGGCACGAGGGACGGCAGCAGTGAACAACAGAGAAAACACATCCCCCCCCCCCCCCACCATATAGCTGCAACAGACTGTCGGGGCAAGTGCCGTTAGCGAGCGGCACCTATAGAGGTCGGCACAGCACACGATGCGGTGGGTGGCCAGCACCACACTCGGGCCGCCTGTGTCTCCCGTGCGGCCATGGTTACGCACCGCACCAGGTACTCATTGGAGGGTCAGTCGACCGAGGGGAGGCCTGGGACTGGTTCAGATAATTGTCGTAGGTGTTGGCCTTGAGCGGTACTTGAACTTGTTTCGCCGAGTTCGTAGAACTGCTTTTTGTGTTCAGTTTGTTGTCATTCCCCCGCACCCCCCGATTAGCACGGTTGGCTACGTACGGTGCGAAGGAAGTTCAACATACACACGTACATATGTCGTGCAGCGCGCTAACCGCCGCACTACCGCTCCCCACGGTGACAACACGCGCACGCACACGTTAGTGCGAGGACGTCCTTTGTTTAATGGGGCGAGCGAGGACACCCCGAGGTTCATTCACCTCCTCTGCTGGTGAGGCGTGGAGTCGCCGGAGCTAAATAAGGAAAGTTATTATCACGACCGGACAAGAACGGTGGCACAGTGGCCACAGCGCAACACGCTACGAACCCAGCGAACCCCCCCCCCCCCCCCCCCCCCCCCGAGTTGGATGTCCGTGCATGGCTAACGTCAGTGGCTGAGATGGTCCCGCGAGGTTCCTCCCTCAAATTGGGTCGCAGCAGGCTTCAGTGAGGAAGGTGAAAGCCACCGCCCCCTCCACCCCCCAAGAGGCGTCGGTTCAGACATCGCTCGCCACCGATGTCGGCCGTGGCCGGGATATAAACCTCAGGGTTTGCCAGGTGACAACACGGAGCAGCGTTGCGAACCACCGTGCCGATAGGGCGATGTTATTTTCGCCATACGGCAACGACAGTAAACCGACGGTGGTGGAATCACCGTGGTGAAGTGCTGGATGCCGACGCGTCCTGCCCTTGAGACCCGCTACCTCGTCCGTAATAGCACAGTGAATATTAAGAGGTTTTACCCTTTCTGGCAAGAGAACAGGAGGTGTTCAGATGTTAAAAACACCAAATGGATACCCTTCTGCAAGGCATCAAGTCTGCATTAACCACACGTACTTGTGGCAAAACATGCAAATAAAAAAATGCTCTGATAATTTATGCATTGTCTTTGAAACTGATTGGCCTACACCAGAAACAGCTTTCTCTATGGCCTTGTCTCACCAGTGTTAGAGCGGAGAATGCCAATAGGCAACAGCACAAAGACAATGCGAGTAACAGGGCATTATAGAAAGGATAAAACCTATCCTTATGTTATACATACTTTTAATACTGCCAAAAAGGTCCCATAGATAGCCCAGTGAATTTCTGCAACGCATCTTAAAAAATCGACGACAGTTGCCAATAGCTGTAACGAAGCAGTAATAATGTGAATAGTAATATTCGTATTAAAGCAGCCCATTCTAAAAGACGATGCGCTCGGGATGTCGATGGTCCGCTCTTAAGGCCAGTGACTGGTGCCCAATACGGCTTGGGAATGGGGAACTCACCTACACATACAGCCAGTGCTCATCAAAACAGATGGCTGCTCTTCGAACAAATTCTGAATTATTACATGCACGGTGTCCTGCAGAACAATCTCACGAGCTCATACTCCCACGTAACTAGCTCTTGTTATGACATGCACATTAGGCACAACAATCTCAATTGAAAAACGCTTTGGCCACAAAGTGACCAGGCACGACATTTGTATCTGCCCATACCAATCACCCGCCAAGTTGGTATCCCTCCGGTGCACAAAACTGGCTGCCGATTTGTTGTGCAAAACACGCGCCCAAGCACCCTACTCAGAAACGAACTGCCACAGCACGAGTTGCACCGGTCGAACAGTTTTGATCGAAAAAAGTGGCCCTAAAAAGCACGCATTTATATTACGCTTAACATCATGCAGTTGCCTTTGCCGGGCGGTGGCGGCGGCAGTGGCTACGCTGCACGTGGTTGGCTGTAATCCAGCGCTGTTGGTGGTTCACAGGACAAATGCTGTGACACTCCCTCCCAGTAAACTCTGAAATGCCATTCCCTGGCTCGCCAGGAGATGGCAGTACAGCAATTAGACTAATCGCCACCTGTTTCCATCGCTACGGGAATACAGCGTTGCGCGAGGGAGATGTTTTTTTTTCTCCGTGTGCACCGATTTCTTCCCGCGTTATACGATAACCACAACTCGTCGCTAATTGACTCAAAACATATGTAAAAATATAAACCGCAATGCAGTAGGCACCCTCCTCAAGAGTCCTGAAACCCAGCATGGCTTTCTGGATAAATAAGTAAATTCAATGTGGCCGATGAAACCCTTAGCACTGAATGAGAATTAAACACACATGCATAATACGGGTGAGCCTATAATGAAGTAATAAATTTAAAATATACTTTAGTTATCACTTTAGTCACCTGATCACCTATATTATACTGACAGCTTTATGGTAGACCAACTGTCGAAAAACTTGAAATCGGAAATATTAGAAACCCCACACAAACGTTCCTCGTCTGGGGGTTGCATCAAACCAATTGAATACAAATTTAAGCATTTGCTGCCCCTTTATGCATTCCGTACCCTCTACAAATATCACAAAACCCGCTTCGAGAAAGAACGCAGGGACGTGTGGCAGCAAAAACGGATACGGCACGTAATTTTCTTCTCGTCACTTTTTTCTCTTTCTTCAGGGTTGATCGACAGCACGCACACTTTGGGCGAACATGACCCCGGGGGGTGTAAAATCCAAATCACGAGCCATCGTGGGTTTGCTTTGTCCTTTTCCCCAGCCTTTTAGGAAACGCGTGGATTCAAAATGTGTTTTCTAAGAACCCATTCTCGGTGCGTGGAAGGCAGGCCGCCAGCTCCGATGCACCTCGGTGGCCCCACACCACAGCGGGTGCTCGGAGAAAAAGTGCTCGGTTCATGACCGCGACGCACGACGACTCGCTGGGCAACTTGCCTTGTGAGGGCGGGGGGGCAGGTGGGGTGGGCGCGCTGCACACGAATCAATGCGGTTCTGATGTTCTAGGCGAAGTCAATGCGCAGGAGGGGCCAACGGAGGACGCTGCAAATTGTAGCGATGGAAATTTAAGCCTTGGGAGGCTGCAATCTGCTCAAGATCACCGGGACAGACACGGCGGCGTGTCTTTGTACACAGGATCCACCCGCCCCCTCCCTCCCCCCCCCCGGCGCGCGTGCCTCCACCCGTCGGTATTCGTGGCACAAGTAATTTCCTCGTATATTAGCGGTAAAAGGTCTTATCTTGAGCCACATACTCCAAGGTCACCACGAAATCCCCTATCTCTGCAGCTGCATCAAATTATAACGGCACCACAAACACGGGGGAGGGGGGGGGTCTTCGTTTGTATTCTAATCTGATCCCCCCTTTCTGTATTCTGATTATCATTTTTTACGCACGTTTATTTTAGAAACCATATGCATTTTACTCTCATTGAAGCCATCAAAACCTCGGCTTCGCCAACCACTCGCGTGTGTCCCTGTATACTCTGAATGAAGTATATACGCAGCTGAAGAATATACGTGGCCATTATCGTTCGCACGGTGAAGCGCTAAAACACCCTCTGAACTTTTCAATGCGTTTCATGAGCGAAGGCGTCGCTTTTCCCCCCCCAAGCCGAGTTGTTGATTACAGGAAGATGGCACAAAATCGCCCCACTTTGTCCCAATCTTAGTCTGGTCGCCTCGGCAACCGAACAACAGAGAGTTCAAAGCGACAAAAGTTTCACACAAAATGGAAAATGTAATTTCGCTCGGGCCGTGCAGTGGGGATGGAATCGTCGAGCGACTTGGGAGAGCGTTTTTTTTCGCCGGCCACAAAATCTCTCGCTCCGCATTAAAATCGCGTTCGTTAACCACAGTACGCGTGTCACCCTCTAGCGCATTAGCCGAACGCATCGGTGAAATACGCGCCGTCATATGTGGCAAGACAACATTTTTCAATGCGCGCAATGCATTTCCGTCGCGTTGTCAATTGCTGCGCCAAGGCTTATATCATCGCACAGATAGCACAAGAGAGGTGTGTTGTTGCCATTCTGAGATTGCCTTTCCCGGGGCGTACGTTGCAGTGCATGTTTTTCCGCCCTGCAAATACGACTCCGCAGATGAACCCCCCCCCCCTTCGTTTGAATACGTACAAGGCGTCTGCTTTTTTTCCTGCTGAAATGTACGTTTGCGCGAAACAAACGGACGACGCCTTTCTGTTATTGCAGGAGCTGCGCGGTTTGTGAAGGGAGGAATCGCCAAGGCAACCGCAACTGACTTGAGGGGCGGGGGGGGGGGGAATGGGTCGAGATAGTGACGCCAAAAATGTCGCCTGTTATCGCCGAATGCTAATGCGTATTTACAGACCTCGACACTGGCTTGCCGTGCACCCTTAATGCAGAAACAAAAAACGCAAACGCGGCGGAAGATAAGGCACGTTTCGCGGCCACGACGGCCAAAACATTTTCACGCGAGCCACAAACGCGGCACCGAAATGAAATTGTCCGGCCGAACACAAAAACAAAGTGAGATTTCCGTTCGGCCTTAGCAGCAAGACGAAAAGAAAGGCAGTGTTGCGGTGTCGCGTCGGAGAAGTATTTCGCTTCGCGGAGTCGGACCTCTTGGTTTGCCGAGGTGAGTTCTTGCTCGAGGGTTGCCACTCTCTCCAGGGCGACTCTCAGCCTTTCCCGAACCTAGAGCACAGTAGTAACACAACTCGGTCAAGAGAAATGGCTGCGCGACGACATTGCTTCATTGAAACAAGGTACTCTCTCAAAGATTCACTTCGTGGCCCATGAGTAAAAGCGCAAAGATTTATCTTTGGCCACAACACAGACTGCTGGAGCAAATGCTGTGAGCGCGTAGCACCTGTGAAAGTCGGCACGGTACACGACTGTGTGTTGCGGCCAGTATCACGCACGGCCGCCTTTGACTCGCCAGTGTTTCACGTGTCGAGGAGTATCGTGAGTAACCAATGAGGGGGGGGAGCAGCAGTAAAAGCCAAGACAAAAATTCCCCCCCCCGTGTAGCCTTAACAAACCATTTGGGCAGTGCTATTTGCGAGCAACACCTTTGAAGGCCGGCACGGCAAGATGTTAACTACCTCGCCTGGTATACAGGAGGTTGTGGGTTCGAATCCAACTCCGACGCCTGTATATTTGGGGTTTGCATGTTCTCCCCGTGGTCATGTGGATTTTTCTGCGGCTCTTCCAGTTTTACCCTCGGCAAAATTGTTAGTTCATAGTTTATAGTGGCCAGCACCATGAGCAGACACGCACACACACATCGCGTCGTCGCAGGGTTAAACGTGACCCACCTTCTCGTCCAGCGCCTTGTGGTGCTCGAAGAGCGACTTGAGGGCCTTGAGCACCTCCACCTCGCTGGAGACGCCGGACGACGACTGCGCCTGCCGCTTCACCACCGTCATGCGCAGCGAGCGCTCGTGCCGCGACACCAGGCACTCCAGGTGCTCCAGCAACAGCTGCCAGCGCGCGGGGGGGGGGGGGGTTAGAGGTGCGGACACGGAGGACGCTTTTAGCGCTCGCGTTTTTTTTTAACGTTTGTCACGCGTCTCGGTGCACGCAATCTTGTCACGAAATATATGTCTTGCGCGTTCCCCGAGTGGTTCTCGTTTCTTGGCGCATATTACAAAAGATGTCTCTTACTCTGCGGAGCGACACGGACTACCACACCAGGCTCGTGAATTTGCAAAAAAAATCGCCTCTGCAAGGCAAAAATCGCCCAATATTGGAAATTACACCTTCCCATGGCAGGGGCCAATCTCTTTGAGAGGATGACCAATGTTTGACTTCCCACGAAGTTTTAATCATTTCAGTGACTCCCATATTTGACAGTGAGTCGATTGGCAACTTGTGAGTGGGCACTTGCACCTCTCCTAAGACGGATGGTCAGTGAGGAAGAGAAGGCCAAATACTCCCGAGAGAGACACGCTCTGTAGCTCCCTTGCATGGAAGCCCGTCTGCCAGCAGTGGCATGAGCGAGAAATTGCAGTGCTGCACCTTTATATTTTATACTTAGGAAAAATTCACTTCATTCCATGCTATAAGAAGCAGTTTGATATATGTTATCACTCTAACCCAGCTATCTCCTCTAACCCAGCTTAAATATACGCTGCCAAGCTTGGTGGTGTTCATTCAGATGCTGTCTTTCCGACAGACCTGTTCTTCACCTGAGGACGGCTGCTTGCGTTGTGGCCGAAACGTCGTGAGAATTGTATTTTATTATGTTTTATTTGTATTATTTTATTATTTCCCTTCTACATAACTTTACCGAAAGAACCAAGAAGATGTTATCAACTGGTTATTTTAATTGTTTGTCAGTGGTGTTGTACTTGGGTAGGAATTGCACGCCTATAGATGCGCTTCTTTATTAACTGCTTTTTGTGTTTAGTGTTTTGTCATTCCCTCACACCACTCATTAGCACATTTGGCTACGTTTGGTGCGAAAGAAATTCAACATAGATACATACAGGAAAGAAGTAAAAAAACATAATAACATCGTCTATTTTTCCAAGTTCATGTAACATAAACCAAAATAACCGATTCTAGCCCTTCATCAGTGAAGACCTTCCCACGTCGTATTGGGACACGGCGGTTTTTTGACCATACTTCTACACGTTGGTCAATGCAGGTTGGTGGAGGGCAGGCCCAGGACAGGCTGAGCCATCACTCGTCGCTGTTCTTAACCACGCCTTTGTCTCCCCAGTGGCGATGTTTACACACCGCACCAGGTACTCATTTAAGGCTGAGTCGACCTAGGGGAGGCCCAGGACTGGTTCAGATAATCGTCACTGGTGTTAGCCGTGAACGGGAATCGAACCCGGGTCCCCAGGGTTCATAGCACACATATATACACACCGTGGCATTGTTTTAATTCAAGAAACAGCGCACTCAAGTCGTGAGCCACTTCACATTACGGGGGCTTGGGGGGGGGGGGTGCGAAAAGACAGACAAACACACGGGACGTATTCTTCCCACGTAGAGAGCGACACGTTGTTATTTGCGCAGCCAAGCGGTTAAGAGAAGCGAGCGTCAAATGCCGAGGAAAATCCTCAAGGGGGGGGTTAAACTCTGTTGAAGCACGTAACAAATGACTGTGAACAGAAATAAGATGCGCCGCACACATCGTCGATTTGCGGAGGTGTGAGCTGATTGGATCCGACAGGCAAGACTGCGATCCGCGAGAAACAAAACAGATTTCATAATTTACAACGTTCCGCTTTGATTTGGCTAAATAATGCATGGGCCACTGGTCCATAGTCACTTAAGAGCCCATCAGCAGAGCACTTGATTTCAATCATTGGAGCTTGAAATCAGTTTTTTTTGCTCCACCTAACCCAGAGGGCCTGTTTACATCCCGAGTTCTCCCAAGGGTAGAAGAACGTCTCCAACAAGAGTGGCGCGCGGCTCTGCCTGTGGAGCGTCACAAAATACGTGGCGCGATCCAACAAAGTTCTGTCGCCAACAACAAGAAGTAATTAACGCAGACGCTGCACGCGTGAGTTAACCCGAGCCGACGTCATCCGCGGAAACGGGCGCAACGTTGTTTCGCGGCGTCCTTCAAGCAAGTGCACGATGCTCCCGCACCCGTGCGTGCGTGCGCGTGTGTGGTGGGGAGCGGTAGCGTAGCGGTTAGCGCTGCACTATGAACCCGGCGACCCGAGTTCGATTCCCGCTCACGGCCAAAACCAGTGACGATTATCTGAACCGGTCCTGGGCCTCCCCTAGGTCTACTTAGCCTCAAATGAGTACCTGGTGCGGTGTGTAAACATCACCACTTAGGGAGACAAAGGTGGTCGGGCGTGGTGCTGGCCACCCACCCCCTTCGTGTACCATTGCGGCCTTCATAGGTGCTTGCTAACAGCACTTGCCCCTACAGTCTGTTAAAGCTATATGGGGGATCTTTGTCTTTGTACGCGTGTGTGCGTGCGAACGATCTGTGCTATGCAAGCACCGTGCGCAGAATTGTTCAATCGAAAGGGGAGGGGGGGGGGGAAGGGCAATAATTAGAGGCAGAAGATTGACACTTCGGATAAATTAGTGGTACTTTTTTAAAGGTGGTTGTTTATTTTTTATCATTCAACTAATTAATTAATGCCGCGGCCAAATCACGACGCGTGGGATTGTAACAAAAAATCGTGTTTCCTGCTTAAACATGCATCGAAGTGGTGCCCGTCTTCTGTTTGCAGCCATGAGCCAATGTTAGGAATTCCACATTCCTATGATTGGGGGGGGGGGGTCAGTCTATCCATAGGACATCCACTGTTGACATCCCAACAAAGTGGTTCTCATTTTAGTGATCCTGAGGGGATCATAGGATGAGTCAAGCCCTCCCACCTGGCCCCACCTGCCACCCCCAACCAGGGCTTGAACTCGTAACCTTTCCATTGCGAGCCCCTCCTCGCTCAAGCGCTGAGCAACCTTGTCGGCCGTGTTCTATAACGCAACGCTACGAGCTGCTGGGGGTCACTAATGTATTATTTTTCTCCACAGAATACACGGTCCAATGAATCTAAATGGGAGCGTGGAGTGCTGCTGGTGGTGCCGCGGTTAGCCCAGTGCACTTGGAACCTGGTGACCTGAATTGGAATTCTGGCCACAACCAGCAGTCCTGGACCCTGTGCTGTCCCCCTCCACACTGCCCGGTGTGGTGGGGCATGGCCAAGCAACGTCTACGGACCACGGTGTGGACAGACCTTCATCTGGCAGCAACATTAGCAAAGTGTCTAAAGATAATGACTCTTTTATAGTTAGTACTAGCTTTACTACCCGGCTTCGCCGGGGACTTGGATTCTTGTCTTGGATTAATACAGGGCCTAGGTGGAGGGTGGGGGGGATGCGTGACGTCATCAGGCACACTGCGTGACGCTGCCGCATGCGGGTGACATGACAGATGTGACGTCACCGCTCACTTGGCGTGCAAAATGTATCCATTATTGCGCCCCCCCCCCACCCCCCAAAACACAAAAGTCTATTTTTATACTTTTTTAATTGTGTACAGTCTGGAAGCTACCCACAGGCCAAATTTCAAGTTTGTTGCATGTTGGGAAGTATGCTAAACATTTCGAACAGATACACATATTCATAAATTTCCCTTTTATATATATAGATAAATATAGAGTGAATGAATTGGCAGCAGTGTACTCGCACAGGCATTACTCAATGGATGTAATGTGGGGACAGGCATCTACATCGATGAAGAGATACATTCTTAGAAAGAAAGGCTGCAAGAGGAGAATGGAATGTGTCGGGTGATATGTGAACTGTCTATATTTGTAATTTATAACTTCAAAATAGCTCTCTTTTCGTCGTCGCTGGAAAAAGATAAATCATACGCCCAAGTACATTCCGTTTTAAATAATGCATCCAGTGTGAACTGCAATTACCGTATGTATTCACAGAAGCAAATGAGATTTCAGATGGAGCAAATTATGTGCGTGTTTATTTTGCTGACATCATCATTGCTACAGATTCATGACACTGTGAGGGTCTATGCTAATAGGTTTTTTTTCTTCTGCTAAAGTACACCCCCACTCACACCAACATTGAAAAGCAAAAAAAACACACAACACACCCGTTCATAACACTGCCATAGAAAGAAACTGTCTATATAACAATGCCCCTTCTTGACAGCACACAGAACAGCTATTGGCCAAAACAACTTAGGTTATTCTTTAATCTTATAACGGCAGAACGATTGACGAAAGAGTTGAGTTTCATTTTGTAATCTGTGCTTGTGTACCACTGCCAACACAGCAGCAACAGCAGTAACACCTCATCATTTGTTTCATAGCAAAGAGTAGGACTAAATGTTTGATCTCTGAGTGTACGTATGTTGAATGTCTTTCGCATCGTACGTAGCCAACCGTGCTAATCGGAGGTGCGGGGGAAGGACAACGAACGATGATGAATTGACGAAACTCAGGACTACGCACCTCCGCGAAGCTCGGTTGGCTAAGTACGGTGCGAAAACAGCTCAACATACACGCCAATTAAATAAAAACATTCCCGACGACACAAACCATGGGTGGTGGAGTAGCCATGCACACAAGCGTACTAAGATGAAGCACCACGGTCAGTTGACAAAGCTCCCCCGTATAGCCTGAACAGACTGTTGGGGCAAGTGCAGCTAGCCAGCACCTACGAAGGCCGGAACGGTACACGAGGGGGTGGATGGCCAGCACCACGCCCGGACCGCCTTTGTCTCCCCAGTGGTGATGATTTTTCCACTCTGCACTAGATACTTATTTGAGGCCGGGTCGACCTAGGGGAGGCCCAGGACGGGCTCAGATAATCTTCCCTGGCGTTGACCGTGAACGTGAATCGAACCCGGGGTCGCCAGGGTTCGTAGCGCGACGCGCTCACCGCTGCACCACCGCTCTCCACAACGGTCGGTTGAACACGCGCATCGACTCACGTCGACGTCGATTTTCTCCCCCCCCAACCCCCTCTGGCCGCGCCTGTGGGCCAGAGGTCGCAACCGGGTACCCGATACCCGTACCCTTCCCGATACCCGGTTACCCGTACCCAGCTGGGTACGGGTACGGGTAGCCGTTTGCGACCCTGGTGCGGCCGGGTACGGGTAGGCCGTGAATCACTGGTGAGTAACCGTTTGTCACTCATTTCGGGTAGGGTACGGGTAGGGAACGGGTACCCGTACCCGTACCCGGCTGGGTACGGGTAGCCGGGTATCGGGTAGGGTACGGGTACGGGTACCCGTTTGCGACCCTGGTGCGGCTGGGTACGGGTAAGGAATCAAAACCCGTTTGCGACCTCTGCTGTGGGCTGCGGTCTCTGGCGCTCACCCGGGTGTTGTTGCGCTCGGCCTTGAGCTCCGACACCTCCTCTTCCTTCTCCAGAAGCTGCTCGCGGCAGGCATTGAGCTCCTTGGTGAGGGCGGCGAACTCCTGCGGGGCGACACGTGGCGACGGAGCCGTTAGCGCGAGGGGCAAAAAGTCGAGGGGGGGCTATTGCTCCCCACCCCCACCCCCCACCACCCCCCGTGGTCGCGGGCAGCACGGGGCACGCTTAACCACCGCGATGCGACCGAGAATCACCCCGACATTCAACAACCGGTCCGGGTGCACGAAAACCACACGAGCTAGCGGGCGAAACTGGAAAGTGTTTTTACGACGCAGATTCGTCGCGTTGGGCGACGCTCGTCTCCGTCGGTCGCCACGGGCCAGCGGGAGAAATGCCACATTCCTATGGCGGGGGCCCAATCCTTTTGTCGGACGATAACCACCGCCGGCCAGGTTTGTAAAGAGGCCGTTTCACGTGCGGCTTCGTTTTGAATCGTCCGAAAGTTGTGCGGGGAAAAGTCTTACGTCGTACATTTGTTCGTAAGTTCTCCTCGGCTATGCGGGCGAAGCGGTGACACAGCGGAAATCCACGCTAACCAGCGTGGTGAAGTATGGTCAAACAACCCCTCATGACTGATAACAGTGCATGGGGGGGGCCTTCATCTAGCAGTGGAACAACCAACAAAGGGCTGCAAATTATTATGATGATCATAGTAATTATCACAATTATACTCTACCTACCCTGGCACGGCCGTTCACGTAGAGAATTCTAAAGACGATGCAGTCAACAACATGCGTTGCGAGATGACTTGGTTTTGCACACACGCGGCAGGACAATTAGGCAGCTAGTCAGCATGACAAGCGACAGATCGTTGAACGTCCGATGAGGGAACGAGGGGAATTTCAGTGCAGGGTGGCTTACGCCTTTGGCTGGCATTGCTGCAGCCAGCGGTGTGACGGACGTGCCTCATTAGGCAAGATCTTGCGGCGTTTTTATTGATGCCAATAATCTGTAGACAATTAATGGTTTGACAGAACAAAATCAGATTTCGGTTCTGATAGCCGTGTAATGTGGGGGGTGTGGAGAGGGGTGGCGGGAGATGGGAACAGTGGCACAGCAGTTAAGCTCACAGAGTTATGAACCTGGAAACCTGAGTTCAATTCCCAGCCACGGTAAACATCGGTGGCGAGCGATGCCGAAACCATTCATGGGCCCCTCTTGACCAACTCCAAGTTGGCCTGGTAACTTTAATCTACGTTGTCTTATGGTTGTTATTGTTTGACTTGCATCTCACTGGGATTTTTGCACACAGCGTTGAAATAAGGTGTTTTTTCTGGAAGACTTTGCTATTTTTTTCAGGATTTTTATGTTGCGTGTAGTCACTTTAAGATGTTTCTTGTTCATGTTTTGTTGCGGTTGCACCCGAGTCAAGAGCCGCATGGCTCACAGGGTTATACCTAACGAATGAAACTGAAACTGATACGCTGCATGGGACCAGTGTGGCGAAGTGTGCTCAATCAACTCCCATGAGCGACAAGATGCGGGAAGGCCTTCGCAGCACGGCAGTGAATCGACAAGGGTCTGCGAGCAACTAAAACCGATGAAACGTTGGCCGAGACCGTATTTTTTCCACACATGTTTCCCGTGCCAAGTCCAAGTGTTGGAGGCAACTGTGCAACAGCTGCAAAAAGTTGGGCACTCGCAGTCGAGTCCAATCATTGCACCTTCCACGGCGCTAATGAATCGTGACACGAGGTGGAATATCGTGGAGGGTATTTATAATTGCAATCTAAAATGTGTTTCCTATTGTAATGCCTCCGCTGCCCCCCTCCCTTCCTCACCCTAGAGTGGTTTACAAGTAAGCAACCGTTCAATGCGGAGATAAAATTACATTTTGCAGTGCTTCTGCAGTGTCCATCGAAGGGGTCATCGTCTGACGATGTTGTGCTGTGGTGGTAAGTGACCATTAAGAGCAAATGTTCAGAAGGAAAGCAAATTGGGGAATGTCATTATTTTAATAGTAATTCCTATTGGTGGAAAGATGTTGAAGCCAAAAAGGCAAGGAAATTGGACACACCTTTCCCGTCAAGTTATGGTAGACATTGCAATCCCAAGCTATTTTCCAACCAATGCTTCATCATATGTATAAAGTATGGACAGTACTGGTAATTGAGTAAATAGTCGAAACCTACCCCAAACCACCAGATGGCCTGCTTATTTAAAATAGCAAATTGCAATCAAATTGACATGTATTAGGACGAGGCTGAACAACATCTCAATTCACTATCCAGTACCTACATGTGACCGGTTTTTGATTCAGTCATTCAAAGGCTCTTAATTGCAATCTTTACATGCTAAGCTCCTTTAATCACGACACTGTTTAGGTTAACACCCGTCGTAGTTCCACCACTGCGATAATCAGTGAATACTTCTCATTACGCCTACACACTAAACAGTACACGCAGACTCCTACTTTACTTTCACTGGTAAATGTCAGAGCAACGTCACCACATTATGAAACTCGAAGTGGCATGCCAACCAAATGAACGCAGGGCAGTGGTCATCACCTGCTTAGTGGGAATTCCACATTGCTATGGCAGGGGCGAGTTTAACCATTCGACAACTCCTGCTCATTTGCTAAAAAAGTCGGACTTGTTTTGATTGGCCCTGGAGAAATGACAAACTGCTGTTGCTGTAGTTGTTGTTGTTGTCGGTCTGTAATTTCCCACTGAGGGGCAGAGGCCTCATCCATTTAAATCGCAGTCCTTCCTTTCCTTAGCTGTTTCTGTCCAATCGTGGCCTCCGGTCCTGTTTCTTGCCCGAACTAACCACTGCCATCACGTGCCTCGGAGAGGCGTAACATTGCATTTGGTCGCTTGATTGATATGAATTTGTAAGCTCGAGACGCATGCATTTGTAAGAATCGATTATTTAAATGCATACTCGTGACCCTACGGGCCACCACCGGTGGCTGCTACACTGACCAACAACCCCGAGCGGAATGTTAACTCGCCGCAGCCTTGCAACCACAAATTGCACCCTCCAGCCACGGCACTGACACCCAACCGGACCAAGAAAAAAAACAACGTTCGGTGTACGAGACTTGTCCTTAATATGCGTTACGCCCACACAATAGGACGCGTGGCAAACGGTGGCACTCGTGCGGAGCGAACGTTCTTCCCGCGAAACCACAACGCGACGGCGAGCGCTGTGCGCCATGGAACCTGTGACTGTGGATGCAGACTGAATACTGGTCGCAGGGCGCAGAGGGACGGGCGTTGGCAGATGCGACAGGGAAGACGTTCTCGCCTGAAAGCGTACGCGCGCGCCGATATTTTAACGTGCCGAAAAAAAGCACTGACCACGTGCGTTTCATGTCAGTAAACATGTGGCTGTCCATCAGAATAAACACATTACGTCAGTTGCTGTCACACCACAAAACATATTCCACACACACCTCCAGGCAATGTAAAATACATTGCAGATAATGTCCCTTTATGCACACGAGGCACCCCGTTAAACATTATTAGGAAATACAAATGTGTCATATTAATCATGAGAGGCGTTAACTTTCCCTTTGACTTTTTCGCTCCATAAATGTTTATTATCAGACGCTTTATTCCTCTGGTTTATTTCCCCAGTGTGGTCGACACAACAGTAATCTTAGAAAAAAAGAACTAACAATGAACACCATGGCTCCTTCATTGGATTTATTATTCACGTTTCAGATGCCTGGCAAAGATATTGAGACATTGTGTGTGTGTGTGTGCACGTGTATATGCATGAAGCAGTGGCAGTGGGGAGCGGTGGTGAATCGGTTAGCGCACTGCGCTACAAACACAGCAGCCCGAGTTCGATTCCCGCTCACGGTCAACACCAATGACAATTGTCTGAACTGGTCCTGGGCCTCCCCTAGGTCGACTCAGCCTAAAATGAGTACCTGGTTCGATGCGTAAATATCTCCACTGGGGAGACAAAGGCGGCTGGGCGTGGGGGCTGGCCACCCACCCCCTCGTGTGCCGTGCCGGCCTTCGTAGGTGCTCGCTAACAGCACTTGCCCCAACAGTCTGTTAAGGTTATACGGGGGATATTCGTCTTTGTGGAGCAATAGGAGCGGTGGCACAGTGGTTAGCGCACTGTGCTACGTACCCGGCGAACCGAGTTTGAATCCTGCTCATGGACAACATCGAATGCATGGACCGGTGCTGTACCTCCCATAGGTCGACTCAGCCTTAACCGAGTGCCTGATGTGGTGTGTCAACATCAGCACTGCAGAGATAAAGGCAGGCGGGCATGGTTCTTGCCATTCACCCCCTCGCGTGCTGTATTGCTCTTCATCGGTGCTCGCTAACAGCACTTGCCCCAACAACCTGTGTTAGCGAGAAGGGGGGATGATCTTTGTCTATTTTAAGATGTAACAGTTTTTACCCATCGTCTTAGAAATTCTACCACCGCAAGGTGCATGCATTCATGAATAACACACGTCTTGTTCTTTTTATATTATCATCTTCGTTGTCAGCCATGATCAATCCACACTGCCAGTTGAAAGCCTCCAACCGCAAGCCACCACCACCACCACCTCGCACAATCGTTTTTTTTTGTATAAAAAATAAACGCGTCTATATTTATAAATCTCTATCGGTGTGGTCCAGCAGCATCTCTAGCGGCTTGCTTGGTAATTTGCAGACAATGCCAAGGAGTCAGTGATCTTCGTCCTTTACTATCAGCACTAAACGATGTCTGTTGTGATGCAGTAAAGGACCCGTGAGTTGTTGATTCGTGAATGTATTTATGGATCAACTTCTTTCGCACCTTACGTAGCCGACCGTGCTGCCATGTGCGGTACGGATACTGCAATGTCAAATCCTGTGAAGGATATGAATCCCTCTGCATATGCATTTTTCACTCCGTGTCGAACTACTCACATGCATACTGAATTAAACATCCTTAATTAATTTTCACACGTGTATTTTGGATGTGCGTTTGCATGTACGCATGTCTGTTACAGACAATGAATCCGCATTAAAAAGTTATCAGATCCCTTCTTTGGTTCTTTTCGGTTAAGTCACGTCTAAAAATAAAATAATAGATTAGACGTGACTTA